TAATATCACAGACCCAGAATCATCCCGTTGAGCTGGTGCGAAGGTTGAAGCCATTGCGCAGTTGGTGCGCCACAAGCCACACAAGAATGCCGATGTTCCCGAGGTGGCTTTTCGCAGAAAGTTGACGAGTTTCACTTCTCAGCACTCCCCATGTGATCGCCCAACTTCAATACTCCCCAAGTGAGCATCACTCAAAACCCTCCCGCTTTCACCCAATTCGGATGGCGCTCGCGGCCACTCCTGGTCGTTTCGTCAGGTGGCCGAGACAATGTCTGCAGCAGGCGAAGCCTTTGCAGATGCAGAGGCTGGGCGGTCCATTTTGCCCAGGGGAGGGTGACAGGCGGGGGGGGGGAGAAGGGGAAGTTTGTTTTTTCAAGAGAGGCAACTGCGCATGTTGTGACATTGCCGCGCAAGAGCCCATCCGGCATGGGCTCGGGAAGGGTCCGGATGCTGGGGAAGCCAACCTTTTCAAGTCTACAGAGCTTGCAGGAGAGTTGATGTCAAGAGATATATCTTTTGTTGGGTGCTTGTAGAAAAAGCAACTGAGCGGCAACTAAGTCAGCGCTTTGACTGTCAACTAGACCAACAAGAACAATTTCTCCTTTTTTTCCGCTTCTTTTTTTTTTTTTTTTTTCTCTCTCTCTCTCTCTAAGTAGCCTAGAACAAGTGTCACACGATCACTCTCCTCTAGATGGTTTGCTCAACAGCCACAGGAACAAGATGTGCGGCTATTTCATAAAGAACAAAAACACAGTCACTGCTTCAACACATTATTTCGCGGTATTTCCCAATCTTGTGGCAGAAAGCGTGTTCTCCATTGTTCGTAAAGTTTGTTGTCAGCAGTCTGTAAGACAACATCTGTGGCTTGGAACGTCACTCAGACAACATTTCCGCACGGCAGAAACCTATGCGGACCTATGCGGATAATCCTGGTAGAGCGCATGGCTGGGAGTTCCGTGTATGGTCTGATCCAGTTGAAAGGAAAGCGGTCCCAGGTTGACGATGCGAAAGCGAAGACCCAAACCCAGCCAGGAGTTTCGGCCTGTCCATATGGGTGGCTCGCGTCTTTGCTCTTGAGGCTCGGTACCTTTTTTTTGGGCTGGCTTAAAGGCACACCAGAAGACAACGACGTTTGTTTTTTTGGGGAGGGGGAGCCCCAAAAGGAAAATCACCAGTGCTTCTTTTGGGGCTGGGGGGGGTCCCCAGAATGAGCGACATTCATTTATATATCTATATACATTATTTTATTTTATTTTATTATTATGTTTTTTTTTTGGGGGGGGGCGGCACCGATTTTAAGACCCTCAAAGCCTTCGCGGCCTCAACTGCCAGGAAGCCAAGGAGCATGCTGCCGCCAAGCGGGATGAAGCCTCGGCTGCGGAGAAGGAGGCTGCCCAGAAGGTGCGCGGATCCGGATCCGCCGGATCCGCCGGCCGGAGCGACCCAACCGCTGGGGGGGTGGGTCCTCTACCCGGTTTGTACCATGGGTATAAATTCAGAGCAATATAAGCCTTGGAGGTTATAGTAGGCCACTATTACCATCTTAGCGGAACCCAAAGTGAATGCGGTGGCAGTCTATTTGCACCTTTGGGGGGCATGGGGGGACTCGCTCAATTCCCCGCAGCAAAAACAGAGACTCACTAATTGTCACAGACATCCTTCACGCCAACAGCACACTTTGACCGTGTCTCAGATCACTCATCACTTCTTCGCTCGTCCTTGCAACTTCGACTTAATTGTTGCGAGAGGTACATGAATAAGGTTTTGGCCATTGTACTAGCGAGGCCGGCTTTTGATTTTGTTTTGTTTTGCCAAACTCGTTGGGTTTCCAGATGCGCAAGTTGAGATTTCTGAACGCACCCTTGGCATTGCTGTCCTTTCTGACATTTTTCAGCGAACATTTGCTTTCGGTCTGGTCTTATGCGCGGCTTCGAGCATAAACCAGCGGCATGAGATGGGAAGTCATGCAGCCGTGGCAGCCATTTGAGCAACGTACGATATGCAGCCTGTGTTTGGGGAGCACAAAAAGCTCATCTCACAGAAAGGGATTTGTCCGAAGCCGAGCTGTTCCTCAAATCATCAATGTGGGTGTGGGTCAAAATAAGACCACCAGAAATTGGACCGCATGTTTTCGTCTTTGGTTCCATTTACCAGGGCGAGCCATTTGGGGTACGCATTTTTCGCCCACGGCAAACGCGACTCCAGCCTCTTCATCAGCCCGCGCCCTTTGGCGCTGAGAGGCTGTGAAGGCAGAGAAGTTGAAGAAGGAGGCCATGCGCCTGATCTCGCGGGTTGACTGTCAAAGCCAATAGGATCCCGTTTTGGGGTAGGTGAATTCACCACCCATTTTAGAACCTATTTTAGTGGGGATTGGGATGTTCACTGGGGGTACGATTTGGCATGGCCACATGGGTCGGACTCAAGATATGGACCCCCCCCCTGTTTGGATGGCTTCAGAGGGAAGCCGAAAGAAAACTAGTCACCTGGAGAGGTCTATCATTTTGAGAAGCAGCCACACCGAACATGAGGGTGCCATGGGATGGGATGGTGGCAAGCCGGAGGTCCCGCGGATTGTAAATTTTCCTTCATAGAATCGAAGGAGCGACCCTTCAGCGGATAGCTTCTTGCTATCATCCAAATCGTCGTTCGAAATTGGATCGGGCACCCTTTTCAGCTTTGTGTCTTTCGGGACATCAAAAGCACCACCATTTCTCGGGGTCCAAGTTCATTTTTCTTTTTGGGGTGGGTTTCAAAGGGAGAGGACAAGTCACGCCTAAATCATTTTTTTGGGATTCCATCCTTATTTTGACGAGCACCCAGGCCAGTGGTTCCCTTTGATTCGACCCAGGTCGAGGTCAAAAAGCAAGAGCTCGTGGCCTTGATGCGGGAAGCCGCCGCCTCGGCTGACGAAACCCCGTGGATGTTTCGTGGTGGGCTTGTGTCGGCATTCGGGACAGGCATGTGACTGGCATGTGACTGGTTGGTTTAGCACTGGTTTTGCAGGTTGAGATGCTGGTTTCCTTGGGGGATACGTGCGAGCCATGTCCGCTCAGTCTCTTACAACCAACTGGACCAGACACTTTCAGTCTTTTTCTTTTTTGCGGGGGAGATACATGGGAGCCATGTCCACTCAGCCTGTTCCTCGATCCCTCACTCAGCCGCGGCCAAGAGGCGGCCGCGGCGGACGGGGTTTTACGTCTCAGGCCGAGGAGACCCAGGAAGACGCCGAGCGGCTTCAGGGCGAGGCTGAGGCGAGCGACCCGTTGTCTCCAAATAGGTATGGATCAAAATTAAGCCACCAGGAATTGGACCGCAGGTTTTGGTCCATGTTTCCATTTACCAGGGCAACCCATTTCGGCTACCTATTTTGGTTACCTCCTTGGGCTCCGGGGCTGCACGGGAGAACAGTTTTTGCATGTAAGTGTTGGACGGTTGGAATGTGGTGCCCAACATGGGACATGGCCATGATTGCTCAAGCTATACTCTTTGTACGAGTCACGTTTGTTTGCCTCTCCAAGCTGCAGGTTTTCTGAAAGCACCTCTTGCCGACCAAACCCTCGCGGGCCTTGAGTGGCACTGCATGTGCTGCGATTGGAGCGACGTTGAGTCATGTAGAATTGAAATCCTCTGCCAAATTGAGATACACTTGATTGCATTCTTGCAAATGGTGAGGGTGTGGTCGTCAGGCTTTGTTGATCACTTGTTTGTTAGACTGTTTTGTATCTGAGAACGTGAAATCACGTATTTAACATGTTCACTGCTGTCTCTTCGAATGTTGTCTAGATATGGATGAGTTCTTTTTTCTTCTCGAAACATTATTTTGGGGCCGTTTTTTGTTTTCACTGGCCCCGGTTGAGGTTCAGCCCTAGCTGGGCTGGTGGGTTGGTTAGGTGGCTGGCTGGTTGGCTGGGCTGGGCTAGGGGGAGTTTTGGGCTTGAGATCTCAATGGGGGCGGAAGGTTGGCGTGGGGCTGATTTGTGCTAGCTGTGCGGGTGGTTTAGCGGTGGCTTGAGGGTTGGTTTTGGGATGCGGTTGCGGGAGCTTTGTGCTAGTTTTGGTGGTTTGGGGCAACGCCCCAATCCATCCCGCCAGCCCAAACCTCACAAAACCACACCCTAAAGCAGCGCAAATAAGCTCCAACCCACATCATGTCTTCTGGAAAGGGCTTTGCCTTGCAGATTTTGGCGCTAGCACGCGCTAGTGCCATAGTTTGATCCACACAAGGTTCGCCATGAGCACAGCGGAAAGGTGCGGGCTAGTGGGAAGCATGCACGGTTTGACACTTTCTGTGTTCACGCAAGATGTGCTCTTAAGTTGATGTATTCGTTGTGAGGTGGCACACTTGCAATTTGATGACCGCGCATGTTTTAGGAAGGACCAGGCAACAGCAATGCGTTCTCACTGCTGGGCGCCTTATTGCCCCGTTGTGATAGAACTGCCATCGAAAGCGTCCTATCCGCGACGCATCTCTGCCAGACAGCGGCTCAAGACGCGGCAGACGCCGAGGTGGGCAGTGGTGGTTGCTCGCCTTGCCTCTGTCGGCGAGCGTTTGATCCCTGAGCAGTGAGAGGGAGGGCGATTTCCTTCTCCAGGGAAGCTTCCTGATCCTTGGTAGAGGTGAAAGGGGGATACGGTCTGACAATAAGATAGCGCTTTTCAACGCACATTTCCAGTGTGGCGCCGTGGGCATTGTCAGGAGAAGGCTCGAACGAATCCTTGTTTGCGTGTCACGCCAAAATCTGGCGGCAGGAAGATTCCAATATGTCGGGGCATTGTTGACTTCAACTTTTAAGGGCCTGGACAGCTGAGGGAGCCGTTTGAACCCCGGGTTATGCAGAGGCCGGTCGGCTAGGATATGCTGGAAAGGCTGATGCGAGTATGAAACAGAAGCGATCTGACAGAGAATCGACCTACCCCTGCCAATTGCAGGCGTTTGCATGGTCTTGAGAGGATCCACCAATCTTTCCTTCATTCTGCAGGCAAGGTGCTTTCCAAGACTGCTCGGATTAGCACGTGTTAACAACAGCAAGTCATGTAAGCAGCACAGTTGCCAACCTGGTTGCGGTTTGGTGTTCATGTTCTGTGATTTCGTTGACGCCCTGAAAACAGACATATCAGCATATCTGGACCCTTCCAGGGTCCCTTACTAATTAAAACCACTGAACAGGGAAATGTGGACAGACAAAGCCCTGCCCCAGTCTGGATGGATGAAGCCCTCTGAAACCGGGGTAAACCAACGTGTGCTCTCGAAGGCCGCCGCCGGCGAGAAGGAAGAACTCGCAGCGGCCGCCAAAACCAAGGCGGGAACCACCCAAAGCTCCCCTCACCTCGCCGAAGCACCTCCAAAACAAGGACGGTTTCAGATTCCTTTTGGAAGACACCAACAAATAACTGCCGAGTTTGATGTACCAGTGAAATCCGTCTAGTTTTTCGAAAGGACGCCTAGGATTTGAGCAACGAAGGGTCGAAGAGCGTCCTTGGCTGGATCCCCAGCATTTTTTTGTTTAAGTGCAGTTGACCTGACCCTTCGTTGGTTGATCTCCCCCGCGGGAGCGGTCAGCAAATTGTAACAGGATTGCCCTTGTTTGTCGTCTCACGGGTGGTTTTCCTTTTGAGCTCCCTTTAAAGACCACCCCAAAAAGAGTACCCCCTCCCCCCCCGAGAAAAAGCATCACATAAACAACAACACCCATCTTCTGGCCCCGCAGAGGGACGGTGTTCCAAAGATACCTCCTCAGCTTTTGAGCCAAGTGGTGGTTGCCTTTACGACCATGGGGCGCTTCTCTGGCCGGAACTGGCCGCATGACTCTGTGCTGCCCAACTCTCGAAATGACAAACAAAACACCATTGTGCTTTTCCCTTGCGTCAGGGGACACCGTTTTACCGGGTTAACGTAAGAATCGCTTGGACAGGAGAATCATATGTCTTTCGCATCCGAAAAGAACCCATTACTTAGAACCAGAGCGGGTCACCCAATTGTGGTAAATGAGAATGGTCAAAATCGAACCACCAGGAAAGGACCGCAGGTTTTTGTCCTTGTTTCCATTTGCCGGGGCAACCCATTTTGGGGTTACCCTATTTGCGACCCACGCCAGAAATTTGGGTCCAAGCTGGTGAGCGCCAAACCTTCCAGTCGGAAAGTTGGGGCAAGCGAAGCCCTTAAGCCGTGCCAGGGGGACGAGCATGCGGCAGCCCTCGCCGAGTTCGACAAGAAGTACGGCTTGGAGCCCTGGTGCCGCAATTAGTGGTAACAGCCTGCAGCCCAGAGACATTTCTCCAAAAACCGGAATCGGTTTCCCTAAAACAGGCGGACTTCAAGTTGTTTTAGGGGGTTATGGTAAGGCCAACCTAAGTTACAACCATTTGAACCTCAACATTTTCAACCTTCATCTTGCCCTTTCCGTAGACCCCAACGTCAGTGGGCTTGTTCTTCACTCAGGTGATTTCGATTGGTGGTTTGGAGATTTGAGCCCTGGCTTTTTGTACCGGGTAAATGGCACCTGAACCACCAAACCACTATTCCAAAGCACCAATTTGGGGGAAGCTGAACCTCGTTTTGGGGCCCGGGTGCCCTAAATTTTGGGATCGAGGCCTGGAGCCTGCGAAGGAGAAGGCCGAGGGCAAGGAAGCAGAGGAAGGCGATCAGGGATCGGCCGTGTTTGGTTGGGGTAGAAGTTGATGCCTAGAGGAATCATTTTTTTTACACCCATAGGGGTATGAGTCAAACATTTGGATTTGGGGTTTCCTATGCATTGAAATTGAGCTTGATGAGGAAAAGACGGACACCAGTGGTTTGAACCTCTTCCGATATAGGCGTGTCAGCCTTTTTTGATGCCGTTGTGGGGTTGGTTTACAGGCTAGGAATCAAGCCTTTTTGGGGGATTCCCGATTTGTTTTACACCCATATGGGTATGCGTCAAAAAAACACAGGTTTTAGTCAACTTGGTTCCGTTTACCGATCGGGCAACAAATTTGAGGGTTACCCTATTGTTGACCCATACCCATTTGAAGGCATGCCACTCAAATTTGGAAACAATACCCCCAAACGCAGCTGTTGCAAAACCAATGTGAGAGGTTCCAGTGAGACCATTTTTCTGCACTGCGACTGGTCGCTTCGGCCAGGCTCGGAGTCGTATGACGAGAGCGAGGAGGAGGAAGAGGAGGTCGACAATAGCCGGTGGCCCCAGAATTTCGGCCGTCGTGTTGGGGCCGGAGGAGAGGTTGGCTTCTGTTTTGGCTTATTTTTGAAAACAGAAGGGGGCTCGAAGCCCTAAAGAATCCATACAGCGATGGGGGCCTTAGCCTACAAGGAAGGTCGCTCGCGCGTTACATGGAACCTTGCCTGTGGTTCGTTCCTGACCCGATCACCACACTAATGCTACAAAACGCTATAATGGAGAACATGTTGCTCTTTGACTCATGAAATCGCGGAACGTCAATACCCACCGCCCTGAGGGCCTGGCATTTTCAGCAACTCTGAGGTAGTTGAGAGCAACCTCTAGCCTGACGAGAATCACCGGCAAAAGATAGTGCAAGGAACACTCACAGTATACGATATGTATTGCGGCTGCTGATGGAAACCAAGCTGGAGGGGCAAGGGAAATTGGTCTAGGTTGCAAAAGCTGAGGAGTCCAAGCAGAGGGTCCTGTCATCTCATTCCTTACGAAATTTGCAATGCACCCAACTACTGGTACCGCTTGTTCCCTTGACAACACCCCATTCTGCCCCTACCAAGCTGACCATGGCCGAGCAAGCTTGAAACATAACAAACCTAACCGCACTCGAACTTAACTTCAACTTCCCAACCAATCAAAGGTTCACATATCTCGATCCCTTTTGGCCCACCGGTTCTGATCGGTTCCCCGCCCCAAAGCCAAAAAGCGGCGCCCCAGGCGAGTCCGAGAACGAGGCCCCGGCGCCCGCCGCCCGAGAGGCGCCCGGGGCCGCGCCGGCCGCGGCGCCGCGCCGGGACCGCCCGCGCCCGGGGCCCCGGCGCCAAGTGGATCTGCCCACGCTTTTGCAAAGGAACACGCAACACTCATACACACAGGTGTCCTCTCTAGGTTAGTTTGGTTAAAAATGGAAGGCACTGGTTTGGATGGGCTTGATTCCATTTGCCGGGGCCATCTATCCTATGCTCATAGCGCAGTTGTTGTGAACCTGACATCATCCATTGCGTGCTTAGCGCGGCCTGTTTCCTTTCCTATGAGACGGACCATATTGATTGACAACTTGACGCCTTTGGCACGTCATGTGGACTGTTTACAGATTGGACATGTATCGGAATAAGACCTCACAGGCACTGGGAAACACGTGGCTTGCAACCTGTGCCAAAGCTGAGGATCTGGTGACGCCAGAGAACGCAATGACAGAGATCGAGAGAGACGGGATGGACGAGACGCCCGAGAAGGCCGGGACCGAGACCCCAGAGAGGGCGACCGTGATCGAGACCGAGACGGGCGAGACGGCCGCGACGGCCGCGACGGCCGAGATCGCGACAGACGTGATGGCCGTGACGGCCGGGACGGCCGCGACCGTGACGCCGGCCGCGACGGCCGGGACGGCCGGGATGGCCGTCCACGGGATCGCCGGGACGAGCGGGATGCCAGACAACCCCGGGGTGGTAGAGATGGTCGAGATGGGCGGGATGGGTTCCGAGACACGAGGCCTGAGCGAGACAGAGCTAGGAGATGAGCAGCTTCATCACCCAGAAGTGGTGCAGTGTCTGGCCGATGTGTTCCTTCAGTTTGTTCAACGCCACTCTCATGCAATGCTGCCCCCAATGACAGAGGAAAATATGGGCATCAGGGCACACCCAAAATTATATCCATATATATATATATATATATACAGACACAGACAGACAGAGACACACGCACACACACACACACACACCAGCTAATATTTGTTCTAGCTTGACGTTTGCTTACAGTTTAGCATTCGACACCGTGGATGAAGTATGAGTCACTCCATAAAAATGTGGAAACGTGTGCCAGGCAGTTTGAGAAAACACGCGAATGCAAGGGTTGCAGTTGGACACGCCGAGCCGAGCAACGTTTCCCTTGTCACATGTTCATCAAGCAGCTTGAGATGTGCGGCTTCTGTCAGCTGACAAGCCTCAAAGGAGACAACATGAGAAACAATGAAGAGGGGCCAGGCAGGATGCCGCAACCGAAAAGAGATTTGATGACAGGACTGCAGTCACCAATTCCCCATGTTTGGCCTTGCTTCTTGCCGAAGCCAGCGCGATGGTGCCCACTCAAGAATTTCCGCCTGCCCCGCGGGCCAGACTGAGCCACTTCGGCACGGGGGTAGAGCTGAAACTGCCGACTTCGCCTCCTAGTTTCCAACGCAGCCGACACAGATGGGAATCTGGCAGAATCGGGAGACCCCCAAAAATCTTGGCTTTCCTTTTGGTTTCCCAGCCTAATAAGGGGGTTACACTCAAAAGAACATACACCCATGGACCCATCCCAAGCAGCTTGACCTTTGTCAAACGCTCGGCCGCGCCCTGGATGGCAGCCCATGGCAAGGCCCGGGCCGAGAGGCGACTATAGCGATGTGCTGAAGGGTCTCTTGTCATGGGGATGGATCAAAAGGCCCGTGAAACATAGGATGACCATGGGTTGGAAAATCACCAAGAAAGATTTGACTTCCCCACCTTTGTTGGAAAAGCTGCCCGTGGTCATTTGGGGGCCCTAAATGGAACATTGATCAATTTCCAACTGCGACCCTGGGGGTGTGTTGCTGTGAGCGAACTGACGGCTTTCAGGTGTTTGCTCTATGCGACCTGCGTCCTCGCCGCGGCTGCCAGCTGGATCCATGGCAGGGCGTCGTTCGTCCTCGCTCCGAAGAAATTTGCCGTAGGGGCCATTGTCGCTCCCTTCATGCTTTGGACATTGACCAAGCTGCTTTCTTTTTGTCGCAGATCAGTTCCTTTGGGTGTGAGTTTTCCAAATTGTCACCGAAGTTCTTGAGATTCCGTCTGATGGGCTTGTGAGAGCTTCAGTTGGTTTTCAAACAAATTGGTTCACAGCCTATTCCAGTTGCTCCAGCACCAGCTTGAATTGACAAACCATTCCCCGGCCCTTCCAGTTGATGAGGTGGGCAGGTGTACTTTATCCGCTATTTGTCTGAGTTGATCTGCATGAGATAAGAGCGCAGCTTCCACCATGAGTAATCTTTGAGTCAAGCAACTAATGACCTCTCATCCTGCTTTCAGCGGGCGGCATTGTTTTTGCAAGGCGGCCTTTTCTTTGTGTCAGGACTCAATGAACATCTGCCTTACGCAGGCATGTGCATACAAATAGAAGCACGAGTCGCGCTCGAGTCGCGAAACCACAGCGCGATACGGATCGGAGGCGACTGCTCCAGCATGCGGGCCAACACCTGCGTCCGGCGGCTCGGAGCGGGTGCCAATTCCGGTTCGGTCCCTTGGCAGTTAGATGGGAGAGTTCCCCATCCCTTCAAGCAAGCAGGAAAATGTTTCCGGGGCTCAAATGCTTCTGCCAGACAATTTGTAGTTTCCTTGTGGTTTTCCTTCAGAAATCTCCGCATGGTTTTGTGAGGGTTCCTGTTTGGTGGTAGTTGTAAAGGAAAACCAAAGGGAAACCACGGAGTTTCCCCAACCAGTTTTGGGGGTCGTCCCCTATGAGACAGGCCCAAATGTCTGTGGGTCAAAAATAGGGTAACCCCAAAATGGGTTGCCCCGGGTGGAAACATGGACCAAGACCGGTCCGATTCCCGGTTTGATTTTGATCCATGCCCAAATGATCCATCCGGTTTCCACGGGAAGCTTCCCGAGGTGGTGACCGGCAACAAGACCTTCCTACGGAAGAAGTCGATCCGCTTCACAGGCGCTCCGGGGGCTCCGGGGACTCCGGGGGGCGATTTGTTGCGGGGTTCTCAAAGTGGCGAGGCTGTGGTGGTCAAAACCGTTTTGGTGGATCCCATTTTGGGGATTGGGTGAATTCACCACCCATTCTAGGACCTATTTTTGTGGGGATTGGGATGTTCACTGGGGGTGCTGGATTTTGACCCATGGCCGTGAGTCGACCCCCTTTCGGCTGGCAAAGGGAAACCAAAAGGACATCTTGGCCATTTTTGCATCGAGGCGATCCAACTATTTTCAGCAACCGATTCTCATTCCGGGGGGCCCCATTTGGTGAAAAGAGGCCTACAGGAAATAGCGATGGCTAGGTGCCGCCCTTTGGGGCACTGGGGGGAAGCGGACAAAAATTGGCATCCGGCTTCCGGCTTCTTTTCGCCGTCGCTTCTCATGGGCCTTTGTAGGGTTTCCATCTTCGATGCTCAATCGATTGGGAAGGCGACCCCTGCACAAGTCTCATTGTGCCGTTTGGGGAGAGGACACCAAAAGGAATCTCAAAAACAATATGCGGGCCCGGCGTTTGACGGTGCTCCCCGCATGTCACCTGAAGGTGTGGTTGTAAAGATCACCTGGGCTGAGCTTCCTTTGGTGGGGGGATGTTTCAAGGGGACATGTAGGGAGCTGTGTTTGAGACATCACGTGGACTGTAACGAGCCACGCGTCTTAGGTGAAAAATCACTCGTGCGGCTACATGGCAGGAACCGCATATTGTTTTTGTCTTGCGAGCCATTTGGAACGCGAGCGCTGCCAGGCAACATCGTTTTCAGGCGGGCGCGCTGGGAATGTTCCACGCGCCTCAACACGCATGAGGGCTTGCAGATGGACATCTCGGTTACAGGCGGGGGGTGCCTATGCTCCAAAATAGATTGTCACAAGCCAAGAGTCGTTCTGCCAAAAGAGCAGCCTACACACACATCACTTGCAACGCAGCACGCTGAGTTTGACAAACCAAGGCATCAATGCTGCAAAGCGGTTAGTATGGACTTTGCTGATGTCCTATGGATGATGCTCTGCTTGTAGCTGTAGCTTTTGAGGTGTGAGCGCTGCCCAGCCCAACTAGCCGCTGCTGCTCCAAAAACTCATCGGCTCCTTGCCCCCTTAACCCAACAGCCCAGCCGTAAGATTCCTCGTCGGTGTTTGAAACGGATGCGCGTAATTTCAGCGGGGAGTACAATTCTGGAGGTGGACATTCCGATGAGCCCGCGTTTTGTACTGCCCTCTCGTACCATGGATTCCCCTGAAGTTAGGAAGATCTTCCTCTGATCGGCTTCCCATGTCCACGATGCCGATGCTCCCGCGATCCCGTCCACTTTGAAACGCGAGGCAGTCTCAGCCTGCTAGAGGGCCTGATGCCAAGAGGTGCCAGCGATTTGAAAGAAGTCGCGCAGCTTCTGCCGCGTCCAACTGCCAGCATGTTCTTTTGCAGGGGAATTCGGACCATTGCTTGGAATAGATGGCTTGCCGTAGGCGCAATCTACAGTCCACTTTCTGTACGTGTGTACCATTGGTCGGAAAGGACGGCGCAAATGGTTCAGCCAATTTCGGGGCTGGCTTGGGCTGCTCGAGGCAGTCGGAACCTCAAGGCACCGTGAGAGCGCTTGGAGACTGACTTATGAGGATCATGAGGAGGCCTGAATAGAAATAGTTAATAGCCCCAGGGACGCACGCCACAAGGTCGACAGGTCCAGCCATAGATGTGGCCCGAGGCTCGTTACTGCATTGCGCGACGATCACCATCCAGGCTAGTAGTGCCAGATGCTCAGATCTCGCGAAGCAGACAAGAAAGGAAATAACCTCGAGCGGGAATTCCTTGTGATGCGCCCGCCAACCGCTTGGTTTCAAAGGGGAAACCTGGACAATTTGCGGTTCACGTACGGCAACTCATTTCTTGGATAGGATCATTTCCTTGGAAAGGGGACCCATGTCCTGATGGCGTCGGGGCTTGAAGCATCGAAATGCCGTTGTCAGATGGCCAGCCTTCCACGACAAGGTTTGAATAGCAACAAGGAATGCTTGCAGCGATTGCATGGTATGGAAAGCTGTTCAGAAGCGCGGTTGGTGCTCTGAAGGGCTTTGAGAGGCTTCCTTGTAGTGCATTTCTGCAAATCCTCGTAGAGATGCAAAATGGTTTAGCATGCTCTGAGAAGTTGTTTTGGGACCACGTATATTTCAGAGAAGCAGCCACACAGTCCACAATTCTGCACTTAGACGCTCGGCACTTCAGCCTTTTGGGCAGGGAAGCCGCTTGAACAGACACCGTGGAATCTGTCACCATTTTGCTTTTGATTTTGCCCCTGTAAGCAACAACAGCACCGAGCTGGTCACTCCGTGGGCCACGTTTTGAGGGGCCATGTGAGTCATGCCTGAGATGCCGAGGTCTTTCTGTCGGACGACTCACAGATTAGTGGCAGCCTCAATCCTGAGATCCCCCCGGCGAGTTGGGGGAAATCAGGGTTGTGGGATCAAGGGGTTGATCCCCACCTCTGTAATACAAGGAGTATCCCTTTATATTGGGGGTAAGTCTTTGGGAAGCCCTTTTTGCTGTATCACAGAAGTGGTCATTTCCCACAGCCCTGGGCAAAATTGACAGCTGTGCTTTCCTGGGCTTGCTTCGCAGCCTCAGGCGGCTTGTGGAAAACACTGCTCTGTCGATCCAGTCCAACCTGACCCGCAACAAGTGATTTTTCGTGGATGCCACCACCTAGACTGTTGGTGAAAGGGGCGCTGCGGCCAACAGGGGGCTGTCAGGAGGGCCACATGGACCTTGGGGAGGCACCGCGACTTGCCTCCAGGTGCCAACGGCACCTCGCATGCAGTGGAGAATGCTGGGAGCCAGGGCCCTGTGGTTTGTGGTTGGCTTTGCTGACTTGGGCTTCCAACCCCTCGCGCCCAAGCCAGGCTACCCTTTTCAGGTTGGTATTTACTGGGAAACCCTCAAAGACTTTGAAAACAAGCAGCACAATCCACTAAAAACAATCACCCGGAAAGGGAAAGCACCGTCAGGACTTTTTGAAAGGAACTCCATCTTTTGGCTCCACTTTCCGTTTTTGGAGTTGAAAGGAACACTTCCCCAGCCTTTGGGGGGTTGCCAGAGACGTCCAAGGCGATCCCAATGCGAAGCTCTGGTCCAGCCCGCAGCGGGGCGCGTCCCACGGGGGCCTGGGAGGCGGGGATCGGGGTTGGTTGGTCGAGTCAGGCGTGGGAATGGATGGGTGGGGGTGAAGTGCGTGGTTTGGTTGAGGCTGAAAGGCTGAAAGGAGAGCCGGACTCGGAGCCGAGGGTATCCAAATTGGCTTGAAAAGAGGGAGCGGAGGAGCTGCCAGGAGTTCTGTAAGGCCAACGGTGGTGAGGGTAAACCCCCTTTTTTTGGTGGTCTGAAAGGAGAGATCCAAGGAGTGCCCTACAACCCGCTGGTGCCTGTTGCATTAAACACCACCCCCCCGAATGCCCTTGACAAATCCCCCCCCCCTCCCCCCAAAAGGGTACCTTCCAAAAGACAAAGACGGCAAAGACGTGGCCATGTCAGGCACCCGCTCGGGCTGCAGCTCGGACGACGCGCAGCTGAAGCGCTTGTCCCTGGCGCACGGAGACCCCTTCGCGCCCTGGGAGTTTGGCCGCGCCGCAGGCGGGCAATTCGAAGGATTTTTTGGGGGAGGAGCGGGGGGGAGAGGGAGGGGAGTCACCTGCAGGTTTTGGTGGGCCAAGAGCTGGGCTTGATGTTTTTTCTTTTCCCCCGAAAAACTGGGCTGTCTTTTCTTGGATCGCAAGTTGGCGAGGTTTCAGAGAAAGCGACAACTTGAGAGAATCAGCTCAACTGCAATTTCTGGGATTTGGGCCCAACCTGTGAAAGCTGTGTGTCATGCTTGCAAAGCTGAATCATTTTCTGGGGGTCTTGGTTTGTTGCAGGAGTGGTAGGCATCTAGCCATGACACGTGGTTTATCAACCAAATTCATGTGAGGTTTGCCGGCATTTCGAACACTTGAGCTTTGCATCCTTAATCTAACCCAGATTATATTTGAGGACTTTGTCCGCGTCAGATTTGTGCACTAACCCGCGGGCAAACATAGCTCCGCCTCGGCCGTTGCAGGCCCTGTCAACAAGCGCGGGGCTGGGGGTGGTCGCATCCGCGTCACCGCCCAGAGCATCTACCTCAACGGCAGGCGGGGAGATCACTCGGGGCGTGCTCATCTTTACACCGGAAGCAGAACTGGTTGATTTGGATCGGGAGGTGTCTCCTTTTGGTTGGGATCCGGACCACTTTTTCGGGTGACCGCTACTAGTGGGACGGGTTGATTAATCCGGGTTCCCGTTATTCTGGTGCCAAGTTTCGCCTCGATGAGGGTTCCGCCATGTGCGGGATTAGAGGCAGGATGGCGCTTGCTTGTTGCCTGAGGGTTCATCCTGCGGCGAGAACTTGCCCCGCCAGGGCGAAAGCTCGAAAGCTCCGTCCAAGTAAGTTGGAGATTGATATACAAGACGCGGAAGATGTCTCGGGGCAGTTCCGATGCCTTGCGCCAAAGCACAATCACCGCCTTTTTTCCCCCATCCACAAAGCCCATGTCTGGCATGTCTGGGAAGCCATTTGGACCAGAAGCGCGCCCCTATTTTCCCATGCAAAAATATCAACAACGGCACGCTCAAACAAAACACGTACCAACCGAAAAGGTCGCATGTCCAACCCCCTTCCCCGCCCGCCCAAAAAGTGCAAACGCGCCGCAGCTTCTCGGCCGCCGGGGCGGCGCCGGACGACTCGGAGGACGATGAGACGGCGGCCTGCGGCTCTGGAGGCGTTTCGGCGTCGGTTTGGAGCTGGCGCCAAGCTTTCCCACCTCTTGGGCGCGCGCACAGATGTTTCTGTGTTCCTATATATATATATATATGTGTTCCTGTGTGTGTGTGCGTGCTTTTTTTTCCTGGGGTCCCTTGGTCCCCCAAGACGGCTCCGGTTGTCCCTTGTGGTTTCCCTTGAAACACCGTAAGCAAAAAGAGTTCAAACGACGCACCCTTTTGGGCAAGTATTGAAAGGGAAGCCAACGGAAGCCACATGTAGCAACTCTTTTGCTGAGGTGACCCTTTTCACCTTGGTGTCAAGCTGCCTACGGCTGTCTTTGAACGAGCGCAGGCTTCACAAGTGCCATGTTGGTGGCAGGAGTCCCACTCTTCCTCCCACAATCTCTGGACAGAGTCCCAATTTTTTTGACTACCTGGAGTCTCCATGACCCTTTAAAAATGGGTGCATGACCCCATGTTCATGCACCCATTTTTAAAGGGGCATGGAGACTCCAGGTACCTACAAATAGGCTTAAACCCAGGGGTTCCCTTGGTGCAGCAGTGTCTGAGTTCAACTCGGCCAGGTTCCATCTGGATCTCCAGCGCCAGCCTTGGCTTGCGACGTCGACTTGTTGGTGTGGGACGTGGGCTTGAGAGCAAACCCATACATTTTGTCGGAAACTCATCCTAGGTCGCCCAGAAGTGCCTTTTACCCCTTTTTGGGGGAGGGTTCCCCTACTTAAATAGACTGCAGAAAAAGGGTACCCTTATTCTAACCTCTCTACTGGAGGACCTAGCATCCATTTGCAGAGGATCCCCACCAATTTTTGCAAGACAGCCTTGCATTCTGAGAGGAACCCCCCATGAGCCCATGAGTTTTTGGAAGGAGCCACTCCAGCAAAAGGAGCAATAATTCCGATTTGGAGTGGCCAGGTGCAGGCATCACTCAGCCACCGTCCAGTCAGCCGGCGACGATCGACAACAGCGGCAGCGGCCTAAGAGGGGGGAGGGACCTTCCCAGGCTCACGCCGCTGAGAGCTTTCCATGGCGAGAGGCCTGCTTTTGGCACCACTCACAGGATACATCGGACCTGGAGGTTTAGCCTTGGGGCGCCTTACCATTCCAGAGACCTTAACACGGCTAACCTAACCAAGCGGATAGGCTAGCCCTTCATTCGGCCTCGCCTCAGACACGGGGCCATGGTTGGGTTCACGGGGCGATTCGTGGTCTTCGGAGCTTTGGGGTCTTTGGGGCCTTTGCCCAAAGCCGAGGCCAGGTGGACTTTGTGGACGACATGGGCCCGGGATCCCCCGCCGGCAGCAAGGGCCGGATCTTGGCGCCCGGCGGGTGCTGCCGGAAGTGCCTCTGCGGGGGTGGCGGCAGGGTGCTCACCGAGGCGGGGCGGGCTGGGCCAGGGAGGGTTCAGGGGCTGCCCTTTGCTCGGGCCCCAAATGACCAAGGGTAACTTTTCTGGTTTTTCGCGGGACGTATCATCTTTTCAGCGGGTTTTTCAACCAATGGTCAGCCCATGTAAAGGACCTTTTGATTCACCACCAACTGGTGAAAGAGAATGAGGCTGCACATGAACAACTCATGAAAGCGGGTTGCTCAAGCAAATTGTATGAGCTGCATAGCGAGGGAGAAAGCGACGTTGTGCATTCAGCGCATCCTTTCTCGGGCCGAACTCGTATATCAGTTTCGGAACACTTGCGGATTGAGGATTTTTTGATGGCGCAAGGGATGGGTTGGGTGCTTTGATTTGTTTGGCTTTGAACATCTTGTGGGGTTGCTGGTTTGATGACTGGGCGCTTGTGAGGGGTTTGCTAGTTTTGTGGGGTCGTTTTGATGAGTTGGCGGATGAGTTGTGGTGCGGTCAAAGGGGGTTGGGGTCCACGGTGGTACTGCGTATCACTCACGGTTGGCTTGGCTGTGCTGCACGTGGAACTTCGCAGTTTCCATGCCTTGGGACCCCCTTGCCCTAGAATACCATCAACATTCTCGGAACGAGGTGTTGACTGCCACAAGTGGCCATGGTCGCACACCTGAATTCAACCCTAGACCATATGGCAACCACACCCGGCGGCTTGCCATGGCTGCAATTGGAGCCAAGTGAAACCAAAGAATGTAAGTACAAGAACTGAGATTCCTTTGTGATTGGATTGTTACTTGTCTTTTGGCTTGCCTTTCAACCATCCTTATAAAGAGTCGCGCCCAAATCAACTCTGACTGTCTCAGTTCTGTTGGCTCTCCGGGGGTCTTTGCAGGTGTCTTCGGGCAACGTCCCGCGGAACGTCATGGTGGCCGGGGGGTGCTTCAAAGATGTTCTCAAGGCCGTGGCGCGGACAGGGTGCTTCGGGTGGATTAAGGGACGCATGTGGGCCAGTGAACAAATCAGCCTTACCAGCTGATTTGGGTGTGAATTTCAAGTGGGGACCCTTTGGTGGACAAAATTTAGATGGTGAGTCATGAGGTGGTCCCCTCTTAAATTTCACAGCCATTTGAGGATGCCCTTACAATGTATATGGTTCTTAGATGTAGTCTTTAAGGAATCCTTTTGCTGAGTTGCAGGGGTGATAGCAACTTCACAGGGAAATGGGAGTGATCGCAGCTACCTCACTCAGCAGTTGTCACGCAGTTCCCTTCAAAGGGACATTTGCGCCAACCATTCCCACACACTCCATGTTGGTCATATTTACTAACGTTCAAATGTAGCTCTCAGAGCAACATTCGGTATGTAGGCATATTTTGGACACATTGGGCTTATTGGAATCTATGACTTTGTCGGATGCCGTGATTGGGCGTGATTGGGCGTGATTGGGCGTGATTGGGCGTGATTGGGCGTGACTTGGCGTGATTGGGCGTAATTGTGGGAGTGAATGTATGCTATTTTTGGCCTACATTTGGTATGCCAAATTTGGGGTAGATTCATGTACAGCAGTGATTTGGCGTGATTTGGCGTGATTTGCTGGCAGGAGAATTGTCGAACATGCATTTGTCAAACCAACATTTTGGATGTATGCCTCTAAGAGCAACATTGGCCTTATACACCCCGATTTGAGCAACAATTCGTCAACACCGCCGCAACTTTCACATAGGCTACGGCGGACTCTGGTCCATTGGATTTGTTTGCTAGCTTTCTTCTTGTGTGGATGATAGGGCAAGGACTTCTGGATGACAATATGCAGGCCGCAAGTTTTGCTGAGATGACGGGATTGCGGCGTCATTGATTGAGATAATATGTGGATAGTTGCGGAGGTGCAATGGTATAGCGTCGCCATGCTGGCAACATTCACAGCGCTGGCACCAAAAGGCGAACAAAAAAGGAAACTCAAACGAGAAGCGCCATGTTTGGGGAACCCTCGGTGTGATTCCAGAAGAGACGGGGGCCGCCCGTTCTTTGGGTCGAGTCGCGGATCGCTCGGATCGATCGGTCGAAGCGTCGGACAGATGGACGGGGAGGGCTGCCGCTGCGGATCCGCGGGGACCTGGGCCTTCAGCAATGTCCACCAAGGCGCTGCGAGCGTCGCATCGAAGTGCTTGGGGTTTGGAGAGAGAGACCTGGCGCCGACGGAGCGCCACGAAAATGGGGTCCGAAACCCCAAAAAAGCCGCGGGGGGTGGGGTTGGGTGGGTTGGGTGGGGTTGGGTGGGGTTCGGTGGGGTTCGGTGGGTCAGTCGTATTGTTTCCCGGATCTTCGTGCGCCGGCCATATCCTTGCGATGGGCTTTGCTTTTTTTCGATCTTGATGCAAGCTGGAGAACAAGCAGCAGTGGGTGTTTGAGCGATTGCGACTCAATATCCGGAGGATTCTGAGAACGGATCTCACTGAAGTACATAAGATCATACTAGCCTATTTGCACCTGGGCAGGGTTCAGGTGTTGCCTTTCGAGCTTCAAGGGCCGCATTCGATTGCTGCTTGCTCAGCAAAGGTTTTTGTTTGAAGCAAGCAGAAAGGACCCACACAAACAAATCACTGCTGCCGGTTCTCCAGTGGGCCTTTTCATGTTGGGTTCAAGTAAGAGGTACTGGAAGGAGAAAGTCCACTCTGCACCAGGCATGATGAAACACCTTTTCATATATGGCAGTGGTTGTCAAAACCAATGGTACCATTTTGGGATAGATGAATTCACCACCCATTTTAGTCCATTCCAGTGGGGATTGGGATGTTTCCGGGGGGTACGGGGTTTGACCCATGGCCATGGTTGATACACCAATCCCGACTGGTTCTGATCGGCGCGGATCTTGTCCATCCAGACTCGACCCGTGAGGTAAGAAGCGACGCATCGTGACCTCCCCTGCTAGGCGCGCCCAGTGGGGGGTGGGGGGGTTGGTGGCGGGGTGGGGGTATTTCAGTCTAGTTTTAGAGGCTCTGAAATTGATATATATATATATATATAAACACTCTGATATACATATGATTCTGAGGTTGACCAACAAAGCAGCAACATCTGAACATATATTGATTTGAGTGTGCCCTGGTGTTGGGCCCAGGGATCTTGAACATGCACTGGAACCCATCAATATCTCCCCAAACCAAAACACAAAGAGAACTGGTGGCACCACGTGCTTAGTGAAGCCAGATGAGTGCTTTTCCAGGATGTGGAGCAAGACGGCAGTCCGCCATAGGTCCTGAACCTTGTGCTTCATGTGCTAAACGCGGTCATATACCCTTTCACCGGCCAGATGGCTCACAGGTATGCCCCCTTAGGATCTTGTCGGAGGTGTCGGCTCCCAAACCGCAAGCCAAACGGAGGTGATGTGAATCAACCACACATGGCTGTGGCTCAAAAAAGTGGTACCCGTTTTTGGGCCCTTTGGAGGGAAACAAAGACCAACACCTGCGTAGCCCCAGCTCATTAATTTTCAGCCACACCCACATCAGCAACCGAGAAATATCGGCAAGCGACAAAACACTTCCAACACTAGCGAGCCAACACCAACCACCCACCACAAACCAACAGAACGGAATTGGAATCAACCCTTAGAACAATGACCATGACTGCAACCATGCCATTGGGACTTTTACAGGTTTCAAAGACTCCCGAGCCCTGCCATACTTACAACCTATGGATGATTTAAGAACAACTGGTGGCCCCCTTTTTTATTTGGCGGCTAAAGGGAACCCAACGAAATACCAACAAGCGGCCCAGCATTTAGAGAAACTCCCAGTTGGTTGCATGTTTCTGTGTTTCTTTGATTGTTGCCCTCTTCCCCGCCCCCCCAGGCTTTTCTGGTTGGTTGGTCGTTTTGCCGTGGACACGTTATACAGTGGATGGACGCAATCCTGCACCACTTTGAAACCATGGTTGAAACCATTGTTTGTTGGTATTTACAGGGGAATCATCGGAATCCTTCCTGAATTTCTTAGGTGGTGCGACATGGACTTCGCAACCATCCACAATAGGCTCCCTCCCCCCCCCTTCCCCCCCCCCCCCCCCCTCTCCGTCGTTTTTTTGGTCGGTGGGTCGTTTTGCCGGGATCGTGCTAGGCTGCCATCTGCCCCACAAAACCCAAGCGGCTCCTTCGCGGATCCCCGGGTCCGCCCGCGTCCGCGGATCGCGTCGCCAGGTGGGCCTGGCGGCAGTCGCCGCGGCCCCAGCTGCTGCCCAGCTTCGGCGCCTCCGCCCGGAGCCGAGCTCGGGGAGACGTGGGGAAGTGGCCGTGGCATGGCGCGGTCGGGTGGTGGCTGGGGGGTTTGGTGGTTTTGGTGGTGGTTTGGTTTCACTTTTTGGGAAGGACCATGTTCGTGGTAAACAACAAGTCTGGACTTGTTCTGGCCAATCCACTCAAGAAGTCAGCCTATTGTAAGACTTGCTGGTGCGATTGGTAGGGCATGTGGTCCCCTGAAAGGAAACCACCAGTTGGATGGTTTATAGGGGTCATTCCATTTCCCAATCAATCCACCAATCAACATGCCCAGGTTGCAAACCAATCAAACGGGTGAAGAACATGGGATCTTTTTCTGGTGGTAACTATCAGCTAGGTTCTTGGTGGTTTGGAGTTTGGTGGTTTGGGGATTTGGATTTGAAGCCCTGGTTCTTGCAGAGGGTAGATGGGGATGTGGACTTCACCCCTCCTTGTCCACCAAACCACCAATGATGGTAATCCCGGATTCTGCCTAATTTTCGGCGATCGGGGGTATAGCGCGCGAAAGCCAAGGTAAAGATCCTTGCGGATAAGTCAACCCTAGTTATGAAAATATGGGGGTGCCCAGGGTATTAGTGGGGGGGGGGGGGGTATTCATATACAGGGGTTGATTACTCCGGGGTCAACATGATTAGGTTTTCGTTTTAGTCATGTTTTAATAAGCTGTCTAGTAAGTTTCAACAGGTTTTGCTTTGGTCAGTTTTCGTTGGGCTTTCTCCAGGTTTGTTGGTTGCAGTATGGGACAGATGCGCAACGACCCTGATTGGAGGAGACACACAACTTTAGAAAAAAGAAAAAGAAAAAACAACAAGCGTGATGTGAAGAAATGGCCCGATAGAGAGCACTTTGGCTGCCGGTGCTTTGGCTGAGCAAGTTGGAACCGGGAGTCGAGTTTTGGGCGACCTCATGTTTTGCGTTCTCGTTTTTTGGGTGAGGGGTTAAAGCAGCGATGTCGCGGATGGTTGCGAGATGGTGAATTGCAATGAATGTCCCCTGTTTTTGCCGTCAATTGTTGAATAAGACTCGACGTGGGGCTGCCGGCATTTAAACCCACTTGACGATTAGTTTCTTCTGGTTGACACATCGAACTCGCTGGGTGTTGGACACGGGAATATTTGTGTGTGTCTTCAGGATCTGGGAGGCGGGGTTCCCCACCTTGTTTGCTTGATTAGTGCCGCGGCTGGCCTTTGCTTCCGTACTTTTGTTGCTAATGCAGGCCAATGCCATGTGATCTTATAAATTACGAAATATCACCACAATGCTTGACTACACATATCCGAGAATGTGCGTGCTTCAAATTGCCAAAGCGACGTTATTCATACACCTCTGCTTTGATTTCGCCAAGTAGGCCAGCACAGTATGAGTTTGCATTTGGTCTTCACCTTGCCATTCGCATTTTGGTTGTGCACCCAGGTCTGCTCAACGGGACACCAGACAGATACCGCCCAAGCAAAGCCTCGGCCGCGAAACAGCCGAGGCGACTGTTTGTTTCTTGTATCGAGGAACACACGCAACACGGAAGGCCAAGGGGACTTGGACATATGAAGCCCGATTTTACCAGATGAAGCAGGCCTCATCCCTCCTTACCCTATAGAAAAACAGGAACCTTCTGGGAACCAAAAACAGCAGCCAAAGAAGCAGGACCCGCAAAGGAACCCAAAATAACCGCCAAACCCCCAAAAAAAAAGCACCAAAAAAGAGAGCAATCCAACAAAAACATAGGGACCTTCCCCCCCCGATGGGCAGAAACCAAGATGATTACTGAGGCCACGTTCGGCGGTTTTCGGGTTTCGAGGCCCTGACGCTGCGCGTGGACAACTCCTTCGCGGTGTCGCTGGCGGGCGCCAAGCTGCCGCAGCCCACGCCGCTGGCCTTCCATGGGCCGGTGGCGCCCGATGCCCCGGCGAGGGGGGGGGAGGTGGGGGAGGAGGGGGAGGAGGGGAGGGAGGGAGGGATGTGTTGGGGGGAGGGACGTCTCTTTTTGGAGGGCTTTTCGTTTTCTTTCTTTTTCCCCCCCTTCCGGGGGGGGGGGGGTTGAATTGCAAGCAAGCAAAGAGAAGAACAGCCTTGGCGGTAAAAAGAGAAACGAAAAAGGTTGCAACAATTGTTTCTACCTTTGCTTTATTGGTCTTTTTCGGAGGGTGCCATACTTTTTTTGGGGGTGGCCTTGGTCTTTTTGCTAGCAGCACCTTCTGTAGTGCACGCTTGCGGACGGAGAGGTTGCTTGGGGTGGGAGTCAAACGCAGAAAACGATCTCCAGCTCCCCTGCGGGGCAGGATCCTGGGTTCCTGCAACTGCCCTTAAGCAGGGAGATACTTGCGATCAAGCCAGCACTTTGAGCATCGTGCTCATGGTTGACATATGCCTGTGGGTCAAAACCCTGTACCCCTGCTGGACATCAAAATAGCTGGCAAATGGATGTTCATCCACCCCAAAATGGAGCCATAGGTTATGCCCCATGGCCATATTTTACCGGATCGAGATCCGAGGCTCCAGGTGAACGACGCGGTGGTGGTGCCATCGGAGGAGGATGCCAACTGGCTGCTCTCGAGCCTGTCGATGCCTCTTGCCTTTTCGCGTTTTGGGGCGGGTGGGTCAACAGAAATGGTCCAAGGGGCATGAGAGGGCTTTTTGGCCAGGCGGTTCGTTTTTGCCAGCAAAAACAAAGTCTGGATTTTTTGTCGGCAATGCTGGATGTATCGGGATACTACCCAGCCAGTGATCAATATATAAGGGGGATTTGTGTCAGGTTGCTCCTTTTTGAAGAGTGCATGGTGCTTATACAGAAAGCAGGCAACATAAACATACAGCAAACCCTGTGGTTGTGCCATTCTGTGTCAGGGTGCACCGGCGTTGCCTTGGAGCACCCCTTGTGTTGACACCTTGTATTGGCCAAGCCGACAGCCAGACTGAGCCAAGCATGTGACATAGGTGCGGGGTTCGGTCACTTGTGTTGGATGCGTCCAAGGGCCAGTCAGAGTCTTGTTCGATTTCGATTTCGAGCACTCGCCACTGGAAAGCATCCACGGCTTGGAGACAGTCGAGCCATTGGGAACCTACTGGATATTGAACTCGCCTGGAAGCCATCAAGTCAGGGCCACGGCCAACAAACCATCGTTGAACCCGGTGCCCGTGATGGTTGAGAACCACTCAAGCCTTCGGAATAGGGACAGACACTGTTGACAGCTTTTGCCGTTTTGCGTACCCCATCTTTTCCTTTTCCCTGGCTAAACTTAGCACAGGCTCAGACTTGTTGACGTAGCTGCAGACATCATTCCAATCCACAGAGTCGCCGGCCGGGCCGAAGCGGAGTCTTGGGATATTTTAGCTTGTATATGCTCACCCAAAGTCACTTTGTTTCGCCTCTCAATTGCTGGGAAAGAGGGAACACAGAAACAGTATCCGGCATGTTGGCCCTTTCCCAGCTTGTTATCCCCAAGTGACGTTGCACAAATGCTTCAGGTGCACCTATGGTGCCGATGGTCCTCGCGGTTGCTTGCGCGTCAATAGTATGTTGAACAAGTTTGACATCACCCGCCCAAGCGGCACCGTTGTTTCGCAAGACGGCAAGGCTTGAGTTTGCTATTCATGCTATTCATGTTTTGGTAGATCTCATTAAACGTGTGCCGAGACTTTAGGGTTGCTTAGTTGTCAGCGTACGGATGGCTCTTATATTTTGCAAGGTGAACAAGTTGGAACTCCCATCTTTGTACTGTAATTTCAACCACGGTTTTGTGGGGCGTGGTTGGTTTATTTGACATGCCAGGGGCATCTGTAGGCTCAAGCTGCCCCGAGCTGTAGGCTCTCGGACCAGACGGGCTCCACGCTGAAGCATCTGGGCGCAGGGTGAAAGCCTCGGGTGATGGCTTCGCTCGAAATGTTTCGGGATGTGGGTGAAAGGAATGGCTATCTCGTGAATGGGAGGCAGGAGTCTTTGGGATTGGCGAAGAAGAGTATTTCAGCTAGCTGTGTTGCAGGGGCAAGCATTTCAAGACACATAACCGGGGGTGGAGGGGACAGTTGGGCCTTATTTTGCTTGATGTATGCAGGCCAAACCTCTTTGCAGCTGCACTGTGTTGAAGCAGGGCTTCAGAGCAGTCACGAAGCAAGCTTGCCAGCCAAGCTTACATGGATAGTGGTTCGTCCCCGATTGTTTCAGTGTTTAGCAGACGTCGTCAAGCCGCTACATGACAAGGACTGTTTATTGCACCTCACCATATTGGTTTCCCCCGAAGTGAGATATGCAAATGTGTCGAACATATGCCTGATGAGCCGCGAAAGCTGCACAGGTGAAGGGGCTGCTCGAACATGTGAGGCTATGAACAGAACGTGCTGACATAGTGAGCTCCCTGGTTATCCCGACGCATGGGGATCCCAAAAGACCAGCTTCACCTGACGGAGCATCTGCCATTCGCAGTGCCTTCGGGTAGCTCGTCTTTTGTTGCAGTGTCCAACGCACATGGATTTCCCGGTCGGGCGGATTTTGCGGGGTTCGTCAAGCCCTTCTTGCAGCTAACAGAGGTGCAGAGATTTGCAGACTTGGCTTGTGGGGATGGGGATTTGGCTCCATTTTTTGTGTCGCACACCCTTGACCTGCTTCATGGGATGCGAAGCGTTTGCCGGCTCACCCAGGCCTTTGCTGCTGAACTTTAGCAAAACAAACGACGGCCCGGGCCCCATGCATCGCGCGCTTCTTCCGCGAGGGAGGCAACAAGTCAGGCAAGGGCTGGACTCGTTGCCTTAGGCGTGTGTTTGGTTCAATTGTTTGATTGCCGGCATGCTGCATCCCGCATCCCTCCACCTGGTTTTGCGGCTTTGCCGGATGGAGCAGCTTCTTTTTGCCGCACCAAAGGATGATATGCCATCTCGACGATAGTCCAAAAAGTGGCGGGATACCAGGCGCATTCGTGGGGCTGCGCGAACGTCAGTTCCAGTACTGCGCACGACCTAGACGTCCAGCAGAAAGTTGCGCTCTTGCACCTTTCCTCTTAAGCCTGGCTCTCAAAAATTGGCGTACCAGTGGCTTAAGAGACCAAATGCAACATGCAACAGGCAAGGCCCCTTTTCCCTGAAATGTGCTCCCGTGAAGAAGCCACCCCCGCTCACAAGAGCTGTGGCTTTTTGTCGACTTGACGGATCCCCGCGCTTCACCCCCAAAAACGTCGCCCGTCCTCTCAAAGTCGCCAGGACCAGCCTCTGGTTTCCTTCTTTTGGAGGGCTAGGTCCCCCCAGTAGGGCCCTTCTCTCCCCTTTTTTGGTTGGGAGGGTTCCCCCACTAAAATAGGCTACAGAAAAAAAGTTGGCAGACACCTCTCTACTGTAGGACCTAGCGGGTAGAGGTTTCAACCATGAAGGCTTCCAAGGCCCAGATCCTTTGGAAAACTTGGGATGGCCGAGGCCTCGAACTGGCCTTCTCCTCCTTTCTGCAGGCGACAGGGGGGCCAGACTTTTGAGCGCCTGAGAGGGTGGTGAGACGAATCTCCCCACGGAAATCTGAGACCACGTCCACTGCGAAACATCACACCCCATGTACATGTCCTGCATGCAGTACATGTGTTGCACCGGGGTACTGGGCTCCCATTGACCAGAGATGAACCGCTGGTTCCGGGGCTAGGAGGGGTTGAACGCTTTGATTCGTGCGGGAGTAGCCTGAATTGGGGAGGACTGACTTGTCGCATGCCCATTGGTGACTATGCTCCCTCGCTTCCGCCTCTCTGGACTCTAGACAAACATCGCATCAAGCAGATCAGAGAGTTTGTTTCAGAGGCGGTTCGTTCCATGCAGCAACGGAATTCAATACACCATTCCAACACTCATGTCCTTTTCGAGGTCCCGATCTCAGGATCCACTCCCAAGGTGGAAGGCCTTCCAGCTGACATGTGGACTGATTGCACCAGTTGGCGGTCACTTGCCCAATATGGGTGTGTCTTTTTTAAGAATCGGACCCCTTTAAAACCACAAAAACGGGGGGCAACCATGGAAGAGGCCTGCATCCACATGGCAAGTGTTGCATGCGTTTCCATGGCTGATCCGTTCCCCCGTTGGGAACGGAGCCCAGTGACATGTGTACATTCTCACGTAAACACACGTTGCATTCACAGGAGGGTTTGACAAATACGCATGCACTCACACATTAAAAATATGCTTAGGCTATCGCGTTTTCTTTGAAGAACTGTTTAGGACAGTTCCTTCAACATAAACAAGCAGCTTTTGTACACAAGCTGCTGATAACTACCGGCCTGGGCATGTTCTTGGTTTACTTGGACCTTCAAAGGTGCCAAATCAACCCGTTCCCACTGCGAGATGAGGGCGTGCCTATTTCCGAGGGCGCCTTGTTGCTGTTGGTTTGAAAGGGACCACCCAAGGGAGCCGAAACCCAAGGCCCCTATGGAAAAAGGGGCAACCAAGGCACGCAGGAAACCGGGAACCGAAACCCAAGGGGAGAAAACTCCGGGGCCATTTTTCGGCCCCCCCTTGTGAGACCGGGCCCCCTGGTTTTCAGGAGCCGTCGACGCTATCGGATCGAGGCTCGGGACTTGCAGATCCTCAACGCGCGGCACATCACGCTGCGGCAGAACGCCGCCATCGATGCCTCGGTGAGGGCGCCCAATCTGTCGAGGGCCGAGTCTTGGAGTGCGGCGGCTGCAGAAGAAAGACTTCGCCGGCTGAGGGTGATTACTCTTGTTGCTGATGGGTGAAGTCCGAGGTTTCCCTGTGGTTTCCCCTTGGTTTCGGAGTCCTCATGGCTTCCCTGTGGTTTGGATTCCTCTCGGTTTTCCGGTCGTTTCCCTTTCGGATCAAAACAGAATCTGCTTCAAGGGCAGGCAGCCCTGAGCCCTGTATCTTGTTTGAGAGCCATTGTGACGATGACCTATCCTTTTTTTGTGAATGTCTATTGCCCAGATGCACACACCTGCATGACCCCGTTCTCTGATCGGCATGAAGGGCAAGTCTTACTGCGTTGACTCTGCTCTTTTGTGAGAGGCGGGTTGCAGTTTGCAACGGTTGCTCTGTTCTTTCACCAGTCATTTCGCCTGTTCGAGCCATCTCCTTCCCCTCCAAAGGGATGCCCAACATAGCAAACCAACAATTCAAGGCACCTTCAGTTATTGTTGACCGGCCCAGGCATGTTGCAGGATAGCTGGAATGGACACCAGCCAAGCTGAAGGGACTCCTTTTAGTTCATTGCAAGGTTGCATTCTGGGCATTTTGGGATGCGACGGATCGATGTTTTGGAAGCATCGCAATTTGTGATGTGACTCCATCTGCCGGGCTGAACGATTGTTGCCCCGCCTGACACGGCTTCCTTCGAATGATACTTTGCATGTTGCAATATGTTGCAATGCCTGGTATTGGACCTGACTTTCTCAACGCTGCTTGTGCTCATATCTTCCTTCAAGAATAGAGAGGCGGTTCATGGAGCGCCCTCCGTGAGTAGCAAAGCGATTGCACATGCCGGATTCGAAAGCGGCTGCAGGGAGGCTTTCTTTGAATGACAGGATCAGGGGGCGGCTCCAATCCAAAAATCCAAACCAAGCGCCAAACGAGCTGAAGGTCTTTTCGGATCGGCTGGGGGGAAATCCAGGAGGAGGCTAGTCCCCTCGTTCCGCGGCTCGCGTTCCGCCCAGACTGCAAAGCTGGTGGCGGAGGAAATCAACGCGCACCAGGGAGCGCCAGAAGCCTCAAGAAGATACATGAGCTGCTGTTTGGCTTCGGGTTTGCCTCTCCTGGTTCCCAATAAAAAGCCATGCTGTTGCATGTTTGGTGCATTGCTTGGTTGCTTGTTTGACTGTTTAGTGCCTTGTTTAGAGCGTTGTGCATTGGTCTGTGCTCTCTGTGTATGGTCTTGCGCGTCGTTCGTGCCATGGTCTCACATGGCTGTGGGTCAAAATTAAACCACCAGGGGACCACAGGTCGAATCCATGTTTCCATTTACCAGGCTTCCCATTTTGGGTACATACTGTGGATGGGCGAAATCCTGCACCACCTAAGAAACCCTGGAATGATGATTCCTCTGTACATGTCAACAAACAATGGTTTCAACCATGGAAACCCCAAGTGGTGCGATTTCCGGATTTTGCCACCATCCACATAATTTTTGACCCACTGCCACAGTGGTTTGGTCTGAGGCTGGGCCAGGGGGAAGGTGCCTTCAGGCTCCAGGTGCGGCTGGGGGTACCCATGGGCCGTGCGGGGAGCGAGGAGTGGCCAGGTCTCATGGGTTCATTGAGGTGGTTGTGAGTCAAAAATGGGGTAACCCCAGAAAGGGTCCATTTACCAAGGTGCCATTTGCCACACTTTGAGCCTCTTGATTTTTATGTTGGATTTTGAGAACTGATTGATATGTTGAGGATTGGCAGTGGGTCAAGAATGGGGTAACCCCGAAATGGAACCCTGGTAGATGGAAATAAGGACTAAACCAGGCCTAGGGGTTCCCTAGTGGTTTAATGTTGACCCGGACCCATGTTTTGTTCCGTGGCCTTTTGTAAAGGATCTTGGCCATAGGTGTCCTTTTTAGGTGAGTTTGCTTGAAACTGGAAGGCACTGGTTTAGATGGGCTTGATTCCATTTGCCAGGGCCATCTAGTTTTCCAAAAGAACGCCTATGATCTTGGCTGTTCTTTCTTTCAAGGAATGGTATCTGTTTTGTGTTCTTTTGAGGGTAGGCTTGACAAGGGATCGAAGAATCGCAGAACCGAAGAATCGAAGAATCAAAGAATCGAAGAACTGAAGAATCGAGGAATCGAAACGAAGAATCGAGGAATCGAAGAACCGAAGAGTCAAAGAATTGAAGAATCGAGGAATCGAGGAATAGAAGAAGTGAAGATACGAAGAATCGAATAATCGAGGAATCGAGGAATCAAGGAGTCGAGGAGTCGAAGAATCGAGTAATCGAAGAATCGAGGATTCGACTAATCCAGGAATCGAGGAGTCGATGAATCGCTGTCAAGCCGGGTCTGGCTCTTTTCCATTCCACGTCTTTTTATTTCTTCATCCGCACCAAGCGGCCGAAGGTTTCTGCGTGCCTCGCCGGGGCCGGTCGTCGCGCGAGCGCGACAGGCGCAGCGCATCGTCCTGGGCAGCGGGCGCCTGCGGTCAGGGGTCATCATTGCTGAGGAGGCCTCGTGGTCTCTTAGCATGGACGTTGAAATCTGAGCCCCGAATTGGTGGTTGATTGGTGGGAACTGGGGATTTGGGCTTGAACTGGTTGAGGGTAAAATGGGAAACCCCTCCGAAACACCACCAAACCAATCCAAACGAGCAAAGGGGAAGCTGATGAAAGGGTTTGTTGATGCCCAAGGAAGGCTTGTGCTTTCCCCTTCTTGCAGCCTCCATTGATACAGTGATTTTTGCCCAATATTTCTGCTTGTGACAACCTGTTCTAAAATAAAAGTACGGTTCAACCAAATCGCTCGAGTTGTCAGCAATCATGCGCCCCATTCCCTGTAATTACCATGTTTTCTGATTTTCGCTCGTTTGCACTTTGTTGCACTTTTTTTGCGCCGATTTGAGCTCGTTTTGCACTTTTTTGCGCTCGTTTGGTTGATGACTCTTCCCACACTCGCCCCTGTCAAAGAATATGAAACTACCGAACTTGATTTCTGCTTGAATGCGAAAAAATGCTTGAAAGCAATTGTAGAGGAAACACGTTGCAAGGTGTCAATTTGTGTATCGAACCAGGGGGAAGGCATAAATTTTTGCTACGATGGAGGCTCCAGGTTGCTTTGGCTTGGTGCGCGTTGGGTTGGGGGAACTTTCAGGCCGCTGACTTCCAACAAGGTTGCGCCCTGTGTCCAGTCACTCTGATAGGAGCTGGTGATGAAGCGTGGCAGCCGCCTGCAGGCAGGACCTAGGTGTTAAATAGATGGCCACCGCTGTGGCCAGAAACGATGCCTTCAAGTGGTCGAAAATTCCCGAGTTGATGGTTATGGACATTGAGTACCCACCACCTTGAGCTGATGGTTGCCTAATTTGCGTGGAAGGTAGGCAGGCAGGCAAGCAGACGGAAAGGAGGGCAACCATGCCGGCGACCATGCCAGTCCAACCAGCGACGGTGCGACCAGAGCCCCGCAGCGCTGCCTGAGCCTGAGTAAGTAGATTCGGCAGCTGCCAATGAGGGACAAGAGGGAACTGGGGCAAAGCTGGGACAGTATGATGAACAAGGGGATTTGCAGACTGCACCCTTGCCGGATGAAGACTGTATCCCGGCTTTGGGACCCGCATTTTGCTATTGTATGTCACCAGGGAATGCTTCCTTCCCCATGGTGGGTTCCTGTTTGTTTCACCGTTTGCGAGGTGCGGCGTCCTGATTTTGACATGTTCCCACATTGAGCGGCTGAAGCCAAACAAGCACCCTGATACTGCCGCCGTCGTGAGCTCAGGGGCGATCCGTGCGAGCGCATTTTGGAGAACTACTCTGCCGACGCCATGTCCGAGAACGTCAGCTTCGACATCGTCCTGGTCAGCAGGCACCGGGCAACAGCTCGCACGCCTGAAGCAAAGGGACGTACGCAGAAGTCAAGTAAGTCTAGATGCGAAGGTCCAGAACAATTTCAAGAGGGTGCATGAGCTGTGATGAGTAGACGCCCAATGCAGATGCTCGATTCTGCCTAGCCGTTCTGGTGCTGGCTCCATGCTGAATGGCTAACCCGCTCCTTTGACTCAGAGTGAAGGTTGGTTGCGTGCACACCACTGAGAGGCAACCAGATAATCTGCTTCAGCTTGCTGGTAAAGCTGCGAAAGTACAGCTGCGAAGGTCACACAACCTAAAGTGAGCACCGGATTGTCCTTGCATGCCAGGATTGTTTCGAGCTCCTGGATCCATTGTTCTTCACGATGTGTGGAGCTTTCGGGGATTTCCAGCCAGTTGCTTTTGGTGCCAACTTCCTTCAGGGCTCCAATTTCCCCGGTTGCTTGTTGTGGAATCACCACGTGGGCCACAGATTCGCATCAAACCCAACAAAAACACAATTTGTAGAGGAAACTCCTTTGGGGGACCCCCCTTTTGGGTTCCATGCTAGTTTAATCATACTTGTCCTTCTTAGCTTAGTTTTGGCTAGACGTAGATGGGTTCCACTGGTTTAGAAGGGCGTTTATACACCATTTCCCTCGGGAAATCCATCTATTTGCCCCAAAAAGCCAAAAACAACACCTATGTCATAGGTTTGGGCGCGGTTTTCGGGGCGCAGCTCCGCCCCTTGGGGCGCGGACACCGGGTCCTCTAACGCATCCCAGGAACGGCAGCATCTCCATCGAGGAGGACGCCGAGATCTACGCCGCGGGCTCGGAGCCGGACTTGGAGCTGGGGGTCTCCTTAATTTTTTGCCTTGGAAAAAGAGCCGGAGTTGGAGTGTTTTGTGGAGTTCTGGAAGAAGATGGCGGGATGGTTTGCTGAAAAGATTCGGATCCCTGGAAAGAATGGACATGGACGCTCCTAGAACCAGCACATGTCATTGTTTGGAAGTTTCTGGGACCGAGATCCGCGAGGCGGGTGCGTTCCTGCTGTGCAGCACGGAGAACGTGAGCGCCGGACGCCTCAACCCACTGCTTCGGTTTCGGACGGGGCTTAGCGCCGTTAGGGGCGTTTCAAAAAGATAATAAAAAGATAAATCGGACCCCCCCCCCTCATGCTCCTTCTAGAATTGGAATCCCCAACATGGCGCAACGGATCTTCGTTTGGTGTCCCTTCAACACCTACCAAAAAAAGGGGGCACTGGTATCAGCTCCAAAGAAGAACCACAGATTCATGATTGCAGAGGAGTGAATCACAGGCTGTTGGCCCCGCAACGAAACGCCCCCTTTGAGGATTGCTTTGCAAACGTGTCTCGAGCGCGTTCGTCGGACATTCAACAGAAGCACGATAAAACCGCTTTTTGGCAAAAGATCCCTTGTCTGATCCTGTCTCTCTTGTGCGTATAAGTGGCATGGTTACCATGTGCATCAGCGGGGGTTTGTATCTCCCCCTGGGTGTTCTCGCCACAGTTGCCATTGTGGGAGTTTGGAACTGAAAGCTGAGTTTGAATGCTCGCCTGTTTTGTGTTTGGGGCTCTCTCACTCAAAGTCAGGTGGATGTGTGCCGTGATGTTCGATCGCGAATCTGTCTACTTAGATAGTGTAGGCTCCCAATGGGTGAGGTGTCCAAGTGATTTTCCTTTAGACCCATGTTATGTTGGTCTATCTTCTTTGAGTTAGTACCCCGTTTTTGGTAGGTTTCAAAGGGAACCCCAAAGTTGACCACGAACATCCTATGACACAACCGCGCAGTGTTCCTCGCAGCTCTTTCGCGTGCGGAAGCAACTTGCTGGTGCAATAGGCAGGGAATGAGACATGGAGTGCACCATTTTTGGGATTGCGGAAGAAAGGACGCCAACTCGGTTGAATGATTTTTCTCAGGGTCACTCCATTTCTCATTCCCATTGTCTCCAGGGGTAAAGCTGAAAGGACACCACCAGTGGGTGGTTTCTCTCGGGCTCATTCCATGTCTCATTCCCTGCTGTGCACCGGCAAGTACTGGAAAACCCACAAGAAGCCCAAGTGTTCCTCCATTTGACTTCAAACCCTGCATTTCCTCATTCCCTGCACCAGTGGTCCCCTTAAAGGACACCACAAGGGATTGGATAAAGAGATTTGGGTGAAGATAGAAGGATAAATGGGACAGAGAAATGCATTGAGCGAGCGAAGAAATGAGTGAAAGGAACGGGCTGTCTATCTCCTCTTTATCCTTCCCTATCCATCTCCTCATCCAAGATTAGAGAGAGAGAGAGAGGAGATGGATAAAGATATTGGAGATCTGAGAAAAGCTGAGGTGCGCGGCTTGGTGAGCGCCCGCGGCTTGGGCTGTGCGCCCAACCGGGGCGAGGGCCCTGGCACGGTGCCCCAGAAATCTCAGGACGGACGCGGGGGAAGAACGGCCTCGGGAAAGCAGTTGGGTGCTCGTCTTTCCTTTTTTCAGGGGACCCCCCGTTTAAAAAAGAAAAAAGCAGAGAAACAGGGTGTCTTCAACTTTGGGCTTCGCTTCAAAACCAACCAAAAGGGGTACAGGGTTGCGAGCAAAGAGACACAAGCTCATTGGCATGCGAATCGTCCACTGGCTCGTAGGATGCGTCAATGTGAGTGGGCCGACCCGATTTTTCCACGGAGCACAAAAAACAGACCTCGACACCTCCACCACCGGCCCTTTCGCCGACCTTTCAGGAGGCGCGGGACGCGCACCTGCGGCGCCTGGAGGCCATGTGCGGCGGCGGGGGCGGCGCCCACTGCGGCAACGGCGGGGACGGGGTGCGGAACCGGACCCGCGCGCGGTGCCTGGGCACGGGAGGCCGGAAATCGGCGGCCGGCCGGGGAAATCGGCGCCGTCAACACTTTTGTGCATTTTGCTTGGATGGTAGGACTTTAACTTTTTGCCAACTAATGGGTTTTCCATTAAACCACTAAAAGTTAAACTTTTAGCAGGGGAGCAGAAAGCAACCGAGAAAACGTGGGGCGAGAGGCGGGGGACGAGACATGCAATGGACCTGGGGAGTCCCTAGAACAACCATGGGAAATGGATGGAACTGGAATGAAACTGGGGAGTTTGCTGGGAACCATAGGAGATGGTTTAAGTTTCAAATAAACCGGTTTTTGGAAATGATTCCCCATTTTTCAGGAAACCACGGAAAATGGATGGTTTAAATCAACCCGTTTTAGCAGATTCCCGAATTTTCAGGAAACCATAATAGGCAATGGAAACATGGGTTGCCCAGTAAATGGATGCAAAACCTGCAGTCCAATTCCTGGTTGTGACGAATGTTGACCCATACCCAATAAGGGGACCATTTTTTGGTCAAGCTGTGAGATGAGAGGGTGTGTTTTGCGGAGGCCCTTTGAAAGGTTTGTTTGGAAAACCACAAGTTTTCGGGTGCCGCCCCCCATTTTATAGCCATAGTCGTGTGGTTGGAGAAGCAAGTCTAAGATGTAGGCACTCTACTCGCAAGTGTTTGTGCGTGCAGCCTCGATGCTTGCTGAGATGGGCGTTGCGAGCCTTGAACTATTTCGAGTGCGCAACCCCCGTGGCTTGTTTCGCAGATTGGATGGGCAGAGGCACTCTGAACATGTTGCTTCTCGTTTTCGAGGAACCCCCGAAGACTCTCGCAAAGTGGTCGCTAGGCGTGCGCAATTGACATCCTGACTGAGGTTCCTCGTGAACAGTGCGTTACAACATGTGCAGAAGGAACACCACCCTTGCATACTGCATACCATTTTGCCGCGTTGGATGATTAAACCCGATCATTCGTAGTGATCCTTCTTTCAGAAATGCCAATCACAACTGGCTGCTGTTGCTCGGTGGTAGCTGTTGCTGATTCAGTGAAGCCCCAGTGTCAAGACATGTTTGCATGCTCCAAGCTTGGCGCCTTGCACGCCAGCAGCACACATTTTTGTTTTTCGTGGCCATACAGTTGAACCATTTGCATATCTTATCCTTGTTGTGCTTTTGCGCCTGGGGCCAATTGTTTTTTTTTTTGACCCCCGCCAGGCTTGAAGTACGATGGCTGGTGGACCTCGGAAATGGCTCCTTGGCGCTTTGGCCCTGGGGCTTGCAGTTGATTTCAACATCGAGATGCGTTTGTCTTGTCGCCGAGAGCTTCATGCAAGGGGGCAGATGGACTTGTACAATGTGCCCAGCCTTCACAACATGGCCCCCCCCCCCCCCCGAACAATTGCACTCGTGAAGTGGAGTGAGTCTAGCAGATGTGTTCAGCGTCGCATGCTCACAAGTGAGACACACCCAGCACAGCTGCAAAATGATATCAGAATGTGTAAATAGTGGCTTGCCACACGGCAGCACTCTTGTCAGACCATGTTTGTCTTTTGTGTTCCCCTTTCAGAACGGTCCAACACGGAGCCTTCTTATTGATCAAGACCTGTATAAATCACAAGGGTTGCGTTTCTGGCGTTGGCCAGCATTGCTCTTTTGCCAGCTGGGGAGTTTTGGAACTTAGGTTGAGATTGGTGGAACTTGCCGAGACGCTCGATCCTTTCACGGAAAGATTTGCATTTCATGTTCTTTTCCAGTATGCCTCGCTTGAGCAGCGAGTCCTCCGAGCCTGTTGACTGTCTTTCCATGGCCTTCCCTCACACGTTGGTTTTGAGGGACCGGGTGCCAGGCAGCATGCACCGTCTACCAGCAATGCAACCAGATTCCGACGAAGAGCACCTCCCTTTACCTTGGAATTGCTTTTTGGATAGACTGTATTTTGTCAGCCGGGGTTCCGCTTTTTCCTCGGGTGACCGGGGATCCGCAGCGTTGAGTGCGGAATCCGAGTCCGGGAGCGCCAAGCCCTCGAGGGTGCCGACCTGGTCCGCCAGCGGTGCCTGCCTCGGGACCGGCAGACCCCTGGGTCAGTCAAAGCGTGGGCGGCGACGCGGGTGGATCTAAGGAGCTCAAACTTACTCATGGTTACTTTGTAGCAAAAGCTCGGTATACGCTCATAGAGTCCAGAGGCTTCTTTGGAAGAAACTGGACACCCCTGGATTTCCATCGGATCCCCTGGATCTTGTTCAGACCCGAGCGTTGTTTTTGTTTGAGGCGGTGGCGGCGACTCGGCCGGCGCGGGCGGGGGGCTGATTTGGATCCGCTCCAAGGCGCGAATGGGTGGTGAGTCTTTGTCCGGAAAGGACCCACACACAAAAGATGGATGGTATTCTTGTGGTTTTCCAAAAAAGAAAAAGCCGACCGACCAACAAGGAGTCCCACTCAAAAAGAAAGAGCCAAAGGCCATCACTGTCTCGCAGGGTCTGCTTTTTTGGGTTGGCACCCCAGTTTTGTTGGGTTTCAAGGGAAGCCACAGGGAAAACCGTTGCGGCACCATTTTTGGGGGGTCCGCGAAAAACAAGGCACACCCAACAGCCAATTGGAACCGGGACCTCAGCCGAGAGTCTCGCTCCTCTCCTGTGTCTCCGTGAATTTACGCGTGGCTGGTCTCAAAGGAACTTAGTTTCTTTTTTGCATTCCTGGGCTTGACAAGCTTGAGTAGATCAATTTATGCATACACCGTCATCTTCGCTTGCGGGCCACGCCAGATTTTGGAGATGCCATCCAACAGCACCAGTCTTTCAGCAAATGGTGAGGCAAGCGGTTTCGCCGAGCGTTGTGGCGCGGGGGAGGGGTCCGTGCCGTTGCGTGCATTTGGGCAGGAGGAAGGTCAAGACAGAAAAATGCTAATTGCTTGTTTGGTGAATTCCTCTCTTTGAGATGTTTCAGGATGCAGCGGGGATAATTGAATGAAGAGATACTTGGCTTCACTTGTGACTTGGAAGTCCGACGAGAAAACTGGGTATGTATAAAAATAAAGCCCCCCCGGCCAAGTGGATAAACAATTATGGTGTTTTCCCTTTTTGCTTCCCTTTGAAACTTTTGTCTTCTTCTTCGAGGCACGTGTGGCTTAGAAGGGCTTGGACACAGGACAGGACTGCAGCTCCGAGCTACTTCGAGTATCAAGTTCCGGATCCGCACAGCACAAGGCTAGACAGGCGAAGCGGCTGTACAACAAAGATTCTTAAAGATGCGCATGATCTTCTCTTCCTCCAAAGCATGATGAGCCAAGCGCATGTAGCCAAGACTTCGCAACTACCCTCCCTCCGATCCTGGAAGCTGACAGGAGGGTGTTGGAATACTAACTATTTTCCTTTGCCTTCCACTTGCGTGATTCTTTTCCAGAGGGTATTTCGGGCACCTCCCGACTTATCTTGCTCAAGGAATCAGGGAATGACACTTTAAAACCATCCAACTGGTGGTTTTCTTTAAGGGACCCCTGGGTCATTCCCGCATTCCCTACTTATTGCACCAGCAAGTTGTCTCGTTTCGAATGCATTGGCAGCAGCTGCAGCCTACGCGCCAGGACGCAGTGGCTTGGTCCGAGGGCGGCCTGGACGGCTCCGGCGGGGGTGGCGGCGGCACGGCGCCAGCCTTGAAGTCGTCGGGTCCGTGGAGTCTTGCGGAGTAGTTTGCCAGATTCTTCGGTAGGGGTTTGTTCGAATAGTGCATAGTGGGTGGATATGCCAAACAGTGGATGGGTGGAAAGATTCAGTCTGGATATTGGCAGATTCTTTGCACCTGCCTGTTTCAAGCATCTTTCGAAAGCCGAAGGAGTCAGAGGCAAAGCCAAGACCGTTCTGAAGCAAGCCGAGCTGGTAAGCAAAAGGTGAACCGTCTTCCACTAGGCGAAGGTCCAGACTGAACCTTTCTCCGATCAACCACCACCTCTCGGTAAAGCCACTGCCCCAATGGCAGGCCCAAAGGTGCTGACATTGATGGGGGCAAACGAGGGGTTCCGCGTTTGTTTCACTTTGTTTCTATGTTGCACAGGAAGGGTATGCCTGCATTCAGCACGTCTGTAAGTACCACATCTATATCGGACTTGCAGTCTCGGACTGCCTGCATTCTTTGCGACCTCACAGTCCAGAGACGCCGAAAGCGTGAGCTCGCCTTGAAGCGTACGCACACGGCCGGAGGTCATCCTCAACGTCACCATGGTGAATGGCAGCGCAGCCATCGAGGCGCCATGGCGTCGGGGCATGCGGCGGTTTGAGCGGCTGCAAAATGGGCGTGCTTTTTGATGGTGTCCTCGGCTGCTCAAAGCGAATCGACCTTTTGACCTTTTGGTTTTCCAATTTTGTTGAATTTTTTCCGGCCCCAAAAGGTTAAGCTCGTATTTCTGGGCCCTTTGGGCAACTGAGTACCCTTGTTGGGGTTGTTTTAACGGAAACACCCAAAGAAATTCGGCCCATTGGGAGACAACCCAAACTAGCTGCAGCAGATCAGAACTTGTTTGGACCTGAGCTATGCCCAGCAGAACAGATCATTGGGCTACTACCCAACTTGGGATGATTCCGAATGGTTGTAATGCTTTGCTCTGTCCAATTAGCTCTAGCAGCATGTGCGAGACTAATCAGTCCATGTGAAGAGGGACTATTAAGACGAGAATCAGAAATCGAGGTCGTTTCAGTGTCCTTCTGCACCGCTTTTGGATTTCATGGAGTGCAAGGAGGTATTCGACTCGAACGGAGTTGCTCTTGCCAGAGTTTGTTTTTGGCTCGGTGCTTCAAAGAGGCACATCCTTGGCGCGCAAAGATGTTGGCACGAGGCTTTTTATGCTCAACCACGTGTGCTGATCGGCACCCGACTCGCTTCCGGCCAGGCCAGCGGTGGGCGAGGGGGCGGCTGCATTGGCAGGGCTCTCAGGTGGTTGCTCCCGTTCCAGAACGGGATCCTTGACGTGTGCCGGCTCCAATTTGGGAGCGCAAGAATAGCTTCTGGCACCTTCAGGGGTTGCACAAAGCAACTCAGGCAGCCCCCGTAAGACGTGGGTGTGTCTCAAAATAATATAGGAGTTGGAATCTCCGAAGTGGGCGGTTTCCCTTTGGCTCCCCGAAAAAGCAGTCCAAAACGGGGTACCATCAAGAAAGCCATCCCCATGTTTCTCCATTTGGCCATGGGTCAAGACCCCGTACCCCCAGTGAACATCCCAATCCCCACTAAAATAGACCAAAATGGGTGGTGCACCTACCCCAAAATGGTACCATTGGTTTCGACCCATGGCCATTTTGGAATCTTGCCGCAGGTGGCGGTGGGGGAGGGGGTGCCATCGGCAGTGCGGGGGCCAACGCCTCCCAGGCAGGGGAAGTGGCATTTCCTCAAAGGGAATCGGCTTCTTTGTGGTGGTTTACGTTTAAAGCAACCTTTAAAAGGGCACCCTCCAACAAGACCAGGCCCACGTCATGGTGTAAAAGACCGTAGCCCCAAATACAGTCTAGTCTATTGAAAGCGTCCCAGGTATGTTTTCGCAGCAAGTTCGGGTACGACCGCAGGGGTTTTGGCAGGCCATGCGGCCATGGCCTAGATGAAATACATGCGGCAAATGATGTGAGGATTTGGGCCTGTCTAAAAGGAAACCACAGGAAGCCAACATATTTCCCCAGTGGGTCTGTCTCAAACTATATGAATATTTAAGGGCACCAACCTGCGGGGTTCCCCAATTTTGAGATGTAGCCATGAAATGCCCACACATATCGATCATATGTGACAAATGCAGATGCTGGAGGAGCCTGAACCGCGCATCGTAGGCAAAATCCGGTTTGAATATCATCCACGACCCAAAGTAAGCTAGTCATCCCAAGGTTCACACGCTCAATTGGCCTCTTGGGGGCGGTCGTGCATCTCGACCGTGGATGCATCACTGCTGCCAAGGGCCATGTATGAGCACGGGGATTCTGGGCGACTCAACCATGTTGATTCATTCAGCCTTTTACCAGAGGCAACACGCGGTTTTCTCAAATTGGTGAAACAGGTGATGCTTAACCGCACCAAAACGGACACATAGGATCCTTGACAAGCATCCCCAGCGGGTCCGACATCCAAGTTGAGACACCCCCACCCCAAAAAAAGGGAACCCTTGTCTATAGGTATCCTTAGGCTAGTTTGATTCACAATTCATGGGTTCCACTTTTTTTTAATAAATAAAAACATGTGCCCGCGAAATCTATCTATTTGTCCAAAAGGACACCTCATACAACTCTTGATTTGATCCATTTGGAAGTGACACGGACTCCGAAAGGGCTCACTCAATTTCCCGCAGCCCGGGGAAACCAAGTAGTTGAGCTCCCTCCCCATCTCCGGGCAGGTCTGGGCGGCCTACAGCGGGCTGTTGGACGTCTTCGGCGGCCTGGGGGATGCCTCCAGCGCCTGCCGGGGCATGGTAGGGGAGCGCGGCTGCGAGGGCGCAGCTCGGGCGGCAGAAAATCGATCGGGTTTTTGGGTACCCAAGGGTTTTGGAGCCCGAGCGAAATGGGTTTCCCTTTTGGTTTCCCTCCTTCCCAAAGTGACAATTCCCTGTTGGTTTCCCTCGAATCCAAAGTGACAATTCCCTGTTGGTTTCCCTTGAAACCAAGGTGAAAAATGGGTTTCCCGTTTTGGCTGCCCTTTAGAGCAAGGTGGACAAAGGCTTCCCTTTGGCTTGTGTGTGAAACCAAGGTGGATAAAGTGCGCCCAACAACAAACAACAAGCCCGCCAGAGGCCCGAACATCTTGCATGTGGAGGGTAGAGGGCTCATGGCCTCGCAAGGCGAGCAGTGTCAGTATTTGTTTGCAGGGGTGGGCGGTTGTGTGGGTGGTTGTCTTGGGGTTGGTGTGAGGTGGGTCATTCTCTATTTTGTCTCAACAAATTTGAGTATTTGTTGTGGTTAAAAAATGGACACGCAGTTGAACCGTATTTTGTGTGTGTGTGTGTGTGTGTGTGTGTGTGTGTGTGTGTGTGTGTGTGTGTGTGTGTGTGTGTGTTTTTTAGCTTCTTTTTTTCCTTATATGTTGTTGTGTTATTAGTGAGATAAATCTGTTTGTTTGTTGTCAATCTTCGCCTAGCTACGCCAGCGGGAGACAGTTGATCAACGCTGCGGGGAAAACTCTTTGAGTCAATGAGAAGGCGGAAAGGCATAGCTGCTTTTGGCGCATACTGAAAGCCAAGCCCCGCGTGGCCATCAAAAGGAAACCAGAAGGCGGTCAGTTTGATGGCTCCTTTTTTAAGAACCACCGTGGTTCTTGCGCCAGCCAGCTGATGCTGGATCTCTTTTTTTTGTGCGTTTGGGTCTCAGGTTTCACATTGAAGCCATCCGCCTGAACGCCAAGTCATGATTCAGATGCTCCGATTGCCTTCCAACTTCCCATTTCCACAAAGTCTCCGAAGGACAGCGTTCCTCTTGGCACTCGGAAAAGGATTGGACCCAAACAAAACCCGGTGGAACCCCATGCAGAAAGGTCTTGTTGCCACCTTTTGTGAGAAAATTGGCGACCCCCTCAACAAGGAATGCTTCACTACAAGGGGGTCGATCATCCACGTGGCAAAAAGACCCCCCTGACCTCATGGATTTTCACGCCTGCAGCTCACAAAGGGAGCGGAAATTTACCCGACGCGCTCGTGTGCCCAAGGAACTTCTGCAGCTGGCGGAGTGCCGGCCGGGCCACGTGGGCATCAAGTGCGAGGAGATGGCAGAGTGGGGTGGGCTTTTTTTTTTTTGTAAATATATATATATATATACAATAATATATTTTTATTTTTTTCTATCCCTTTTCTTTGAGGCGGTGAGTAGACCCTCCCCCCTTCAAAAAAGGAATATGAACAGCAGAGATGCAGCCACATGTTTCTGGGAAGATGTGGCCGACCGGACCAAACACCGCCCGAGGAGTGCCCCGAGGGCACCTACAACCCGCCCGGGCCCTAGAACCGCCGCGCGGGCGGTGGGCGCCGTTCAGAAGCCCCGGGGTCCGATTCGAGTCCCTGTTCGGCTCACTCCCTGTGAATACTAAACAATGGTTTTACAAAGAATGGTTTCAAAGCGCTGCAGGATTTCGTCCGTCCACAGTATGACTGGGGTTAGACACTTTCGTCTTGTTCCTTTGCTTTGCTGGAAGTTGGCCGGTTTTAAAAGGGACACATGCGGGAAAGCCACCATTTTGGGGGTGCCCCCCAAAAGACGCCACCCCCAGTTATCCACGGCGGGCCTAGACAAAGTGGTTTCCCGAGCTTTTATCGATCCCTGAGAGAAGCTACGCACTCTAACAATGGACTGGGATCTCGTCTTTCGTCACCCCTCTATGGGAGGGTGCCCATGTGCACTCTCGTCAAAGCCAGAGGCCGCAGCCGCCCGAGAACCTCACCGCAACGCATGGCGCCCGGAGGATCCGGTTCCGGTTGATCCTCAAATATCCGGGAGATGCCTGCGAGGAAAAATGGGAAAGTTTCGCGGTTTCTGTTTTCCGGCAATACACCCAAGCAAGAATCACAGTGCTAGCACAACAGCAACTTGCCACAAACCAAAACAATAATCATAGTGGCAAAACACAACTGGCGTTCCTGGCTGGTTGAGTTGTGTTTCAAGAAGCCGAAGGGAACGAATCAATTCTGGTCTGCAATTGTGGGCAACGTCTTGCCAGCTCCCGCTCGCGTCGGAACAATTATGATCGTGGGATCCAGATGGCCTTTCCCTTGAAACTTTGTGGGGTTGACACGCAACCGTATCCTTTTTAAACTCTCGAGTGAGTCGATCGTCTCTGCCAAAATTGCCATTGCAGTGTTTGAAGTGACCACGCATGCTCACACCTTCGCTGACTGTTGTCACGTACCCTGGTACATGGCACTACCCCCTGCCACATGGATCGCTGCTGAAGTTGGGCTTCTGTGCAACAAGTGCATCAAGACCACCAGTTCAGGTAGCCTCCTCGCAATTTGTCCGTGGGTTTGCCTTTCGCCGAAAATGGCCCGCAGCTTCCGCCTTCGAAGAAATGAGCCCGCGATCTGAGGTTCCGGATCTGCCTCCCCTGCAAGAACAAGCCGGCGCAGGGCTACTACACTGCCTCGGGCTGGCTCAATGAATCCTGCCCCTACGCCTGCCCTTCCGGGTTCCCACCAGTGGAGGTGAACCCCGAGTGCCAGGAGCCCGGTGGCTAGGGTTCCTGTTAGTCGAAGTCCTTTGGCTTGGTTTCGCCATATTTCCCAAAGCTACTTGGTCAAACATGGGGCTCGTCTTTTTGAGGGGACCCCCCAAAAAAAAGCACAGAGGTGGTTTTCCCTTGGTTTCCCTTTAACACCAAAAACGGGCACCAAGCCTCAACAAAAAGACAGACCAACATGTTCTGTTGGGCATCATGCTTGACAAGTCACAGTGCCTCAGAGTTGGGGTTTGGAGTTGAGTTCAGTCATGGTGACGAAGGTGAAGCATTGTTTGTCGAGAGCCCCATCACTAATCTATGCTTCCGAACTCGTTACATGTCCCTGAAGAGCCTGGTCAAGCTGGTTGAGCCTTCAGACTCGATCTATATTCGAATTATAACAAGGGGGCGACAGCCCAGCTCCCGGAAGGTCCCCCGCGTTGGGGATTCCGCGTCGCTTGGGGGTCGAGATGCCGAGGCAACGACCCCTGGAGCTACTACTTTGACTTCTTCGGGGGCGTTGGAGCCTCAAGCAACGAGTTGCATATTTTTTTTTAGGGCGAGCTGGGGGTAACACGAGATTATCACGATGGGTCCTTTACCTGGGGAGTTCCTCATTTCAGGTGTTTTGCAATTGTTGTAGAGTCTTTGCAAATGATGCAACCAGAGAGATCCGGGGCGTGCAGGGCATGCTTGCTTTGAAAGGATTGGAACCGGACCTGGATGGTTTTGGCCCTAGTTTACGTCTCGTTTTGGTCCTACGAGTAGTTTCTGCTCGTTTCGGTCCCAGTTTCTGCTCGTTTTGGTCGTGCCTCGAGCGTTCTAGGCCAAACTGGCATGGGCAACCACATTTTGCCAAGTTGAGTAACGACGACCAACATGAGCGAAAGCTAGGACCAACCATGATTGAGAAACTACGACCAAAATGAGCGCGGGCGGGCTGAAAACGTCCAACCGGCCCAACAGCGGATTAGGACCCAAACTGAGCGACCACTAGGGTCAGACTGAGCGGGCTACATTGAAACAGGATCCATGCCTCAGCCAAACACTCCCTGAAGCTCTTGTGCCTCCATGGGGCCCATGATGCCATAAGCCCAAAATCATATGGGTCAAAATTGAACCAGGGGGCCCACAGGTTTTAGTCCACGTTTCTATTTACCAGGGTTCATCCGCAGCCATCTTCGCCGGCAAACACACCTCTCCCTTGAAAGCCTTGGCCGAGGTCTGGGGCGTGCTGCTGCTGACGCTTCTGACCGCGGTGCTCTTCTGCCTTCTGATCTCCGCGAAGCGGCTCCAGACGCGGCGCCGGCTGCAGTGGCTGCAGAAGCAGCGCACCACGGGAGCGCGCTTCGTGGGCCCGGGGGCCCAAAAGCGAAGGCCCAGGGCGTGACGGCGTGACGCACTTCCGGCGTCGGAGTCGGAAGGATGGCGCCGTGTCGAGAAGACTTCGCGCAAAAAAAGGCAAGCAACATGACATGAGTTCTTGATTTGAGTTGAGCTTGTACAAGTTTTTCGGATCCTGGTTTCCTATCCCAAAGGCTTGCATGGAGGTTGGGGGTTTGAGAAAGATGTGTGCCGGGTTCCCTACCGTTACTTGAGGCATTGAGCCTTATGGATAGTCAACCCGTTGCCCTAGCGTCTGCTGTCCAGTGGTTGGGAGGATCCATGGTGGCCATTGTTGATCTTTCTCGTACTCGCCTGGGTGTTGCGCGTGCGCCCGTTTTCGCGCTGCTTCCGTGGCCAGCCTGTCACGTCTCCCAGGCATGAACGATGAGGCGATGCTGCTCTTTGAGTCGCTGCGTGGGAGGCGCCGAGCTGCGAGTTGCGAGAGACTCTCGCCAAGTCTTCTTTCGGGCCTTGGCATCACGGGCACGTTGGTCATCCTTCCTTGACATTTCAGGAGGCTTTGACAGAATGTGCCATCATTCTGTAAGAAGTAGTTTTTCAGTCTTTCCAAGCAAGTTCCAGGTTTTGTTTGAAGGAGGCTTGTCCCTTGAAACCGATCGCTGGTTGGAAGGCACCCGCTTGCTGACCTGGACGTGGGCGATGCGGAGGGCACTGTGGGCGAGGTGCCGGCCTCAGGATCGATTGCTTCTTGATTGGGTGGATCTGGGCCGGGAGTCATTGATTGGGGCGGGGGGGCAGGGGGGAGCGGCGGGGGGGGGGGGGGGGTGGCGGAGTCATTGATTGGATGGGGGGAGGAGTGATTGATTGGAGGTTGACACGTTCAAAATTATTTTACCTCCGTCGATTGGGTTCAAGTTGCTGAGATGCTGGTTGTAATGATGAACGGAGCCAGAAAGGCGGGCTGCACGGAGTGTGGGGGCGCCTTCCGAACTCAACACCCGGAATCTTCCGAAGGGGCCGAAGGGATGAAACTCTCTTGTCAGGTTTCGACGCCAGCATCAGTTCCCGAAGCAAAAAAACACATAAACAAAACACCAACAGAACAACACAACACAGGATGACGCCCAAAACTGGCACGAAGCCGCTGAGATCCAGACGACCCCAGCCATGAGCGCAGGTGATGAATGCAGTGCACAGCCTCCGAAGCCGCACGGTGGGAGAGTCCCGGCCACGCTGGCTGTTGGGCTACGCAGGGGCCCCCGGAAAAGAATTCCAGGAGTTGGTGGGTGGGATTAGAGGTGGGGCCGCAAAAAAAAAGAGGGTCAGACGGCTGGACAGCCATTTTAGAAAAAGGGCAATCCAATGATCCCTGACCCACGAACACATCAAATGGCGAATCATCTATTTGTGTCTGGCGGAAAAAAAATGCAATGCACTAAATGATAGACTGAGGGTTCCAGGAGTTTCTGTTTCGGACTTGGTCAAAGTCCTTCTGCTTTTGCCAGCACAAGGACAATCCAAATCGCAATGTTCTGTAAGAAGAGGTTTAAATGGCATCATTCAGGGTGTTTGTCAAAAAGGGCGCAACTTGTTGCAATTCCATCTTGCAATTTAGAATTGCAGTAAGGTGATTGATTGTAATTATGATCTTGTGCCCGGGATCACGTCACTTCAAGTCAACGGGATTGGTCACCAACCGGGAGTTTGGGGAACGAGGGTTATGGGAACCCTTCGCTTAGGTTCCCGTCACTTGGTCCAAGCTTCCCGTCACTTAGGTTCCCGTCACTTGGTGCATGGGTCGCCAGGGCTCTCGGACCCAACTAGCCGCGAAGGAAACAAACCACAAAGATCCACCAACCAGCCACATGGTGTCAGATTTTTTTTTCACCATCCCCATTCAGCTTGCCTCCAATGGCGGTTCGGAGCCCGGCGGTTTGGTGGTGTTCCGGAGGGGTGAGACCCTTCAGTTCCTTCCATTTGCTTCAGAATACTGTTTTATTCTCCCCTGTTGGTTTTAAAGGGAATCTATCACTACTGGACATATTTCATGTTTTTTCCAGAAAACTTGAGCAAATGGGCCGGTTCCCGGTTCGCACGGGGCTCCAAACCACTCATCCAGGGGAAGCTGCGCCATGCGGCGAGAGGTCACCAGCTTCTGGCGGAAGCTTTGGAGGGGGAAGCGGCACAGCGGCGCCAAGAAGGAGGCGCCCGTGAATGGGTTGCGACCGGAGCGGCAGATGGACCAAGGGCCATGTGGGTAGGTCCGTTTTTGTTTTTTTCCCCAAACAGCAAAGCATTGGGGTTCTAACTTGAGGTATAGAGAATGGGAAAGTGTGACGCCGGTTCCGGGGTCCTGTTTTCCGCTTGTCTTCCTGTCTCCCAGTCTCTCTGGTCAGATGCCAGATGCCGTGACGCTGGCTCCAGGGTCGTGTCTCCCGCCGCTTGTCTCCCTGTCTGCGGTCAGATGCCAGATGCTGTGACGCCGGCTGCGGGGTCGTGTCTCCCGCTTGTCTCCCTGTGTCTCCCAGATGCTGTGACGCTGGCTCCAGGGTCGTGTCTCCCGCTTGTCTCCCTGTGTCTCCCAGTCTCCGCGGTCAGATGCCAGATGCTGTGACGCTGGCTCGCCGGCTCCGGGGTCGTGTCTCCCGCTTGTCTCCAGTCTCTGCGGTATGCCAGATGCCCGGAGCCAGCGTCACAGCATCTGGACCGCAGAGACTGGGAGACAGCAAGCGGGAGACACGACCCCGCAGCCGGCGTCGCAGCATCTGGCGTCTGACTGCGCAGAAAGGAGGCACAGAAAAGATGGGAGACACAAGGAGACAAGCGGGAGACACAACCCCCACAGCATCTGGCATCCAGAGTAGCGGAGACAACCCGCAGCCGGCGTCGCAGCATCTGGCAGAAAGGAGACACAGAAAAGATGGGAGACACAAGGAGACAAGCGGGGAGACACAACCCCCACAAGCGGTAGACACAGGCGTCACAGCATCTGAGACAAGCGGGAGACACGACCCCACAACCCCAGATGCTGTGACCGGGGTCGTGTCTCCCGCTTGTCTCCCTGTGTCTCCCAGTCTCTGCTGTGACGCCAGCTCGGGGTAGCTCGGGGTCGTGTCTTGTCTTTCAGTGTCTCTGCTGTCAGATGCCAGTTGCTGTGACGCTGGCTCCGGGGTGGTGTGTCTCCTAGTCTCTGTGGTCGGATGCCAGATGCTGTCTGCGGGGTGGCCTTGTCTTGCTGTGTCTCGCAGTCTCTGCGGTCAGATGCCAGATGCAGTGACGCTGGCTCCGGGGTCGTGTCTCCCGCTTCTCTCCCTGTGTCTCCCAGTCTCTGGGCAAAACCAACTGAACCTGTTTCTTCTTTGAGGCTGCCCTGGCTTCATCCAGTAGCCGCGTTCGGCTCCCTTCGGCTTCGGCTCCTTCGGCTCCTTCGGCTCCTTCGGCTCCCTTCGGCTCCCTTCGGCTCCCTTCGGCTCCCTTCGGCTCACGTGGCAGCAGCTCGCAAGCGTAATTGAGAAGCATCAAGCTAGAAACAAAGATTCGACAAGTCAGCAGGAACCACTTGCAACAAAGTTTCGCAACTGGGAAAGGGCATGTCGCAGATTTTGTTGTTAGCCTCTGTGCAAAGGATGTGCCTCTCTCTTGGTCAAGCGCTGGTTTGCATCCTTGTGGAGCATCGTTCAAGCAATGTCGAGCCTTAAATACCCGTCGAGCTCTATGTTTCTTGAAAAAACGAATATATATAGTGACATCCGGCTGATTGCTTTTTGGAAGCCAGTGCGCACTTCTTGGCCAAGTGCAAGTTTGCATCCTTGTGGCGCATCAGCTGAGCTCTGTCGAGCCTTCAATGTCTCCATTCTGGAAAACAAAGACACTGTCACAAAATGTGGATGATTGCTTTGCTCAGGATTCTGAGCTGCTTTCTGGAAGCCAGTGCCGCACTTCTTGGTCAAGTGCAGGTTTGCATCCTTCTGGCGCAGCCGAGCCTTTAAATATGTCAACTACCGCGACATCCGCCTGCTGATTGCTTTGCTCAGGATTCTGAGCTGCTTTTTAGAAGCCAGTGCCGCACTTCTTGGTCAACAGCCCAACAGGAGTTCCCTAAACTGAAGGAGCCCAAGGCGAAGGAGTCCAACGTGAAGCCGTCCAGACCGCCGAAGAGCAAGGCGCAGCAGCCCAAGGCCAAAGCGCTTGCCAAGGGTGAGCGCGAGGAAGAGAACAAGGAGCAAGCTGCAGAGGAGGCACCTGACGCCGCACATCAGCAGAGCCCTGTCGAACCTTAAATGTGTCCATTTTTCCCGGTAAGCAAATATACCGCGACATCCGCCTGATTGCTTTGCTCAGGATTCTGAGCTGCTTTTTGGAAGCCAGTACCGCACTTCTTGGCCAAGTGCAGGTTTGCATCCTTCTGGCGCATCAGCAGAGCCTTGCCGAGCCTTAAATATGTCAAATACCGCGACATCCGATTGCTTTGCTCAGGATTCTGAGCTGCTTTTTGGAAGCCAGTGCCGCACTTCTTGGTCAAGTGCAGGTTTGCATCCTGAGCCCTGTCGAGCCTTAAATGTGTCTGTTGTCTTGCTAAGCAAATGTGCTGGGACATCCGCTGATTGCTTTGCTCAGGATACTGAGCTGCTTTTTGGAAGCCAGTGCCGCGCTTCTTGGGCAAGCGCAGGTTTGCATTCTTCTGGCGCATAGCAGATCTTAGCCAAGTGGCCGTAACTGACTGGTTTGCATCCTTGTGGCAACTGACTGGTTTGCATTCTTGTGGCGCCTCAGCAGAGCCCAGCCAAGTGGCCGTAACTGGCTGGTTTGCATGCTTGTGGCGCATCAGCAGAGCCCAGCCAAGTGGCCGTAACTGACTGGTTTGCATCCTTGTGGCGCATCAGCAGGGCCCAGCCAAGTGGCCTTAACTGATTGGTTTGCATTCTTGTGGCGCATCAGCAGAGGTCAGCCAAGTTGCCGTAACTGACTGGTTTGCATCCTTGTGGCGTATGAGCAGAGCCCAGCCAAGTGTGCATCCTTAACTGACTGGTTTGCATCCTTGTGGCGCATCAGCAGAGCCCAGCCAAGTGGCCCAGCCCAGCCAAGTGGCCTTAACTGACTGGTTTGCATCCTTGTGGCGCATCAGAGCCCAGCCAAGTAAGTGGCCGTAACTAGCTAGGATTACTTGGCTCCGTGCGCTGCGCATGCTTTCGGGCCACCCATCTTCAAGTCTCCTCTTGCTAGCATCACTGTGGTTCAAGCACCCTTTCTTGTTGGCAGTGCTGTTGAAAACCTTGCCTCCTATCTTGTTGCCAGTAGTTAGCACCTTCTCAGTTGGATAGCCATGTGGCCCGGCCAAAATCATATCCAGTCTTTTACTTCGCTAGCTGGTCCTCTTTTTCCTCATTGCAACCGAGGTAATCCAGTCCCACTGACAAACGCATGTTGCTGAATAATTTCACACCTTCGTGATGCCAAGGTCGCAGCTTTGACATATCTCGTTGCCTCCTGACAGAAGGGTTGAAGACAGATTTCTCGGCCTTGATTTCCACATATTCTGCAATATGGACGCTGCTGTTTTGCACGTGTCCGAAAGTGCCCAGGGCTTGCACGTGCGAGGGCTCAAGGGGACGTCGTAAGGCACTAGCTTCCTACAGTCTATAAACGCATGGAAGAACAAAGAGCTTCAACGTGAGCTGTATTGCATGGCGCTTGTGCTAGCCTCCCGCAGTGAGTTTTTTTGGAAATCCGAGCAATTCCATTTCATTCTTGCAACCAACGTTCTTTTCCGAGATCTCGACTTGAATTTGGCAGCTCCGGGCGAGATTTTGATGTACTTGCTCGCAGCATACGTGGCTTGTCGGGAAACCAAGCTGGAGGGATGCTCACCGAAGCAACACGTGCTTACAGACATGGCCCATCCATTTCTTCTTTGACGACACAGCTTCGCCTTCACTACGCCTTGAACGTCGATTCCGACCCGTTCAAGCAAAAGGTTTCGGTGCTGCTGGACACTCGCGCAACATTACGGAATGGCGGCTCTGGCGCTCAATGTGGTGATTGCAACAAGGACACACGGTCATGGCCATGTTTCGACACATGTCGCTGTGTTTGATGGTTTTTTTTGGGGTCCCATCAACAAGAGCCGTTTCGCCAATCGCAGAGGGGCTTCCTGGTTACTTGCTCTTGGAGATCTGGTCCTATCGCAGAGAGGGACGAGCGAACACACAGTCAAGCAGGCGTACTTATCATCTTGTTGCATCGTTAGGGGGGTCCGAGCTGCAAGGTTTTTTCTGACCGGTTGTTGTCCTAAAGCCTGGGTGAGTCGGGTCCCCAGCCAAACCATTAGCTCGTAAGAGTTGTTTGCATCGTCCCTGCACTTGTCGAGTTCTCCTCGAAAATCTTGGTTGATGCATAGGAGCCTTTTCCTGGCAACCTACTTCGCTGACCTTGACCTTGACAACTTGGAGACAGTTCACGAACCCGGCCAGTTGATTACAGTGCTGCTGGAGCTGAGTGCGTTGGAATGACGGCCGCCGGTCGTTCACCACACATGTGAACACCAATCTGCGAACCATAAGCACAAACTCCAAGATGAACCCGGCCAAGCTGGTGGTGTCCACTGTGCAGCCAGCATTGGTAAGTTGGGGCAAAGTTTTCACACGTTTCCGAGATGGAGCAGGGCTGAACCTGACGTTCAAAAGTCAAGCTTGTTCCAGAATGGAGCGGCCCAGCCATGCGTTGGCCATCTTGGGAGCATGTGGCGCGCTGGACACGACAGAGACGAAGGCCCTGGATGACCAAGCTACTGCCGGCTCAAACACTGAAAATTTCTGGAGCTGTGCCGGGTGTGAGAGGTGCGCGCCAAACGGGCACCTTTGCTGACGCTTGCCAATTTGGTGCGGCGTGTCCCTGCGTTGCTAGGCGAGGATCAAGGCGCAGTCTGCAAGTTTATGCGAGTGCTCTGTTTTGCTTGTGGCAAGACTTTTAGCCGAGCTCGAGAAGAACATAGCAACCAGAAGTGGCATGTGTCCAGTCTCGGCCGCAAGCTGCTGAGACTGATACGCAAGTTTCAGCAGAGTAGCAGGACGGCCACCAAATGCTGCGGTGATGGAAAAGTGCATTGAGTGTCTGTACTACGAAAGTTTCGTCGAAACTTCCTTTGATTAATGCCAGGTGTTAGGTTGATTCACCGAATGTACGGGGCCTTCACTCTCGAACATGGCATTGACATGGCATTTTCCCCCTCGAAGTCGATGACATCGATGCTTTTGCCCGGCGTCAAGGAGATGGATGGACCCGATGTGTCCTCTTCCCAAAAAAGGGGACTCCTACAAAAACATACATGGGCTGATTGTAACTATGTGTTGCTCACATAAGCTACTCAATTTCGCACCTTACATGAAGGAGACCAGCTTTTTTTGTTATACAGACCTGTCACGCTTTTTTGCTGTTTGGGGTCGAGGCTGGTGTAATTTTTGTTTTTGTTTTCTGCGGGGGAACGCGTCTTTTTTAAGTTTGAATGGGAAACCAAAAGAACCATCACCCTTAAGCAACACAAATGGAGGGGGGGCAGCTAAAACGACAAGCCGGTTTTGTTCAGGTCGCCCAAGCAATGGAAGACAGAAGGGCTCTTGGGGGTGATGCCACAGACTCCAGACACTTAAGCCGCCAAAGCCGCCAAGCTACGCGCGTTCAGGCTCACCTCCTGCACGTGGGAGATTTGTGGGACACTCGGTGCCAGTTCCGAGTGATGGGAGCTGAGACGTGACAGCTCCTTATCCGGATTTGAGACCGTTGGAAGCCTTCACATGGCTTCAGAGGACTTTTTGTTGCGGTGGTGAAACCATTTCCTTTGATGGTCGAAGTTTGACGCTGGTTGGAGCGTCCAACTTTCAAGTGAAGTTTGGTCCAAGGCCCTATCACATGTCGCGCATCTACTTCCTGGGGGAGAACATGCCGAGGGACCCTTGGCGGCTCTCCATGCAGGTGCCGGAGGCGTGAACAGCGGACGGATGGGACCCGGTCGCTTTCCTGGCTGCCTTTGAACCGCTTTTTTGCACGTCACCTGGGAGGCAAGTGGCCCATTCGGGGTGTGGATACAATGGCCCTGCCTTTCTTTGGCCGAAGAACACGTCTAAACCTTAGAGGAGAGCGAGGCTTGCCAACTGGGGCCCAGCCATAATATCGAATCTTCACTACCTCGAAGCCATTTCCTATAGATCTTTTTCCATGTTCAACGAGCCAATGACCCAAATCTGCCAACGAAACCAAGGCTCACCGCCCTCGGTCCTCAGCCAAAGCACAAAAAGCAGCCCTGCAGAACCTCGAGTGGAGCCCAAGCTGAGTCTAAACCGGCTCCAAATGAGCACCAGCCATCGGCCAATGCGTTGCTGACAGGCCGCAAAACACCAGATTTCAGACGTTTGCTTCCCATGCGTGGCGGTGCCGACCCAAGGACTCCAACTTTACTCATACAGCAAATGTGTGCATAATTGACCTCATACCATGACGTTGTACACTGCAGCATCATCGATCTGCAGGAATCACAAGGTTTGTCAAAGGAAGCAAGGATCCAATATGTGACACTTAGCGGATGCTTTGTTGTAGTATTAATACGTGGATTGCGCTCGCGCGAGGGAAGTCATCAAATGGGACCCTCCCATTGTTCTTTGTTTTTTGCTCCGACCGGACATTGGACGAAAGGAGCTGCGGCCATTCGTGGAGGACAGGCGCTCGGGAGCCCAGATGCGGAGTTTGGTATTAGGGTTGGCCACTGGAGTGGAGGGGGAGAAGTGTGGGGTATGGAATGATTCGATGGTGTGCTGATCATGCTCATTCCTCATGGGTTTGTTACTGGATAGATAGATGAAGGGTAGTAAGGGAGAGTTCCAGCCAGGTGCAGGTGTGGCTGCCCTCTCAGTTCTTCACATGGGTGACAACTTTGGGACCCAAGCAAATGCCAAGAGAACGTGGGCCCCTTTCCCACCTTTTCGCCAGTTTGCTTCCTACCATGGCCCAACCGAAACGCAGGACAACCCTTCCGTCAAGGCTGGGGTTCGTTGGGAAGTTTTCGTTTTCCCAAGGCTGGTCGCAATTCGCCGAGAAGGTGAACAAATGCTGCTCCCGGAGGCGTCGTTTTTGTTCGAAACAAGTCGAATCAGGGCTTTGTGGCGGGTGTGGCACGGAAACGTTTCGTTGGAACAAATAACACGTGGGTTTGTCGCAAAATAGGGGACCCACAAAATGGGAGTGTAATGGACCCCAAAAAGGGTGTAAGTTTCAAAAAAGGCACCATTTAGGTGGAAATATATTTCAACCAACCACTTTTGATCAGGGCAAACGTGAGTACCAGGTACCAACACTGTGCCATTTGCCACAGTGTGTCGCACACGTTCACGCCTTCGCCAACCCCCCCCCCCCCCTACCTCCACCCCGGGCACACTAAGAATGCCGCCAGCCACACTAAATTTGCCACACCATTGCCTCATCGAGCAGCAATAGACCCACATGTGTTCGTCGTCTACAGTCCCTCATGGCTTCCAATCCTTACGGCCCGAGACACAGTTTCACACATTAACATGTTTTTTTGGCTCCAGGAAACATCAGGTCGACGTGACAGCTTGCTCAAACAGATAGACACAGTCTGACAGAAGCAACAAATTGTCGGCTTTCCGCTGATGTCACGAACTCTTGTTGAGAAAAGTAGTGGGCGGTGGTGCTGTTGGGCTGAGCCGGCCAGCTGTCTGTTGCGGAGGATGCGGCTTCAGCTCATGGCAGAGGGGGTGCTGAGGTGGCTGTACCTGCCAGTGGCAGAGTGCTCAAGGGTGGCAGCGCATTGTTTTTCTAAGTCCCCTGTTGGTGAAGGGAATCTATCACTACTGGACATATGATGATTTTCTCGGATTAAAGCAAGTTTTGTGCGATTGAAGTTTGGGGTGTTTGACATTGGAGTCATGGTCGTTTGGGTTCTTAGGTCATTGATCACTTCTCATGTCAAGTTGGAAGCTGCCTCATCCAATTGGAGGTGTTTTTTTTTGGAGGGTACCTCTTTTTTTGTGTGACTTGGGTAACCAAAAGGGACACCATTTTTTTGGGAGCCCCCGAAAAAAAAGAAAAAAGACAACCCCAACTGCTTGTGTGTAGTCCAGGTCTGACAAGGTAGCTGACCGCACTCGTGTTTTTGTTGTGCAAAACGGCTCGAGGGAAGCCTCGGCTGCCGGAATGATATTTGCGACTTGCAGAAGGAAAGGGCACATGAGGCTCGGTCAAGGGGAAGCCATGGGGAAGCGCGAAACCTGGCCACATTGAACTCGCCAACTTTCCCATGTCCTTTTGGTGTAAGAAGTCATTTTGCAAGCGGCTGAAAAGAGGGAGGTGATGGAGCGTTGCTTCATGAGCCGGGTACTGCAGCTTGCAGAGCCCCGCAAATCTCCCAAATTGCTGCCGGGTCAGGCGCGGGGTTCGGTTTCAATTTCTTTCAAGCGGCAATCCGCAAAAAATATCTACCCGTTCTCTGGTCGCCTTCCAGACTAACGTATATAGACTAAATATGAACCGTTGCTACATGGCGTCGGATGTCCAGGTACACCCGGTGGCGCCTGCGCTTCGCCCGGGCCGCCGACGTCGCCGCCTTCGTGTGGTCGCTGAGCGCAGGGCCCAGGGGCGGTCGCAGGCGGTCTCATGAAATCCCCGCAGCCGCATATTTGCAAGCAGGTCAGTGGCTGGTGTTTTGGAAATCGACGCGACGTCGGTCAGTCACCCCGCGTTTTCCAGCTCTGGCTGGCGATTGTTTGACGCCACATGGGTGTGGCTCAAAATTAACCAGGAGGGGTTACGCAGGTTTTGGTCCATGGTTCCACTTACCAGGGTTCCATTTTGGTACCGGTTTTTCGAGCCACAGCCACATGGCTCCAACTCTTGCGACCCGCCCGAACTGAGGCGAGAACTCCATCCCAGGCGAAACCTTCTGGCGGCTGAGCCGGGGGCCACAAGTTGCAGCGGTTGGGGTCGAGGTCGGGGTCGCCCTTGAGCAGCGCCATAAACCCTCACAATACAAAGTAGCAAAGGGGCGGTGTCCTATAGAACCCCCGCGAAAAGCCAGAACGCAGGCCGCGAAAGCTTGCCAAAGCTTATCGCGAAAGTGCTGAAAGAAGGTCCCGCCGCGAGAGCCCCGCGAAAGCCTGCGTGTTGATAATGAGCGGGAGTTGTTTTACATATTCTTACATTTGTGGTGCACTGTGAAGAAAGGCGAAAGGCCGTCGCACTGCCCCGAGCGTCAAAAGGCACCTGTAGCTTTTGAGCTCAAGCTGCAGTGCAAAGGATGTGACAGTCCGCCGCGAAAGTGCCGCGCAAGCAGCTCTAAAGAAAACGAAGATCGCGAAAGCAAAACATGGGGTCGCGAAAGCATCGCGAAAGCGTTCGCGAAAGCAAGTTCATAGCACCGCGTTTTACACAAGAGTACTCGGCACGTCTCAGTTGTTATATATGTTCAGTGTCGGGCACCCGTTTTGTCGTTTTGCCCTTTGATACTGAACTGAAACGTGTGATGATTACACCAACATCACCAACCCAAGGAACTCTAAAGGAGCCCCAGCACGCTAGCTCGCACTGCACAACTGCATGAAGGCTCCTCAAGTTTTGCCATTTATGGGGTGCATTTCTGTAAGTTGTCCTGGCACCAAGTATTTTGATGATGGCTGCTTGCGTGCTTGCTCTGCTCTGCCCGGCTTTGCTTTTCTCTGCCGCATGCCTCCGACCATTGCCTGTGATCTCCAGTCCTCACAGTTCCAACAGCCCCCGAAAGGGATGCATCTTTGAACCGTTTTAGGCGCATCTTGTGGCTATTGTCTGTCTGTTGGCCGCAATGGAATACTGTGGATGGACAAAATCCTGCACCATCTAAGAAACCTTGAAATGAAGACTACCAACAAACGCCATGGTTTCCCATGGCTTCAACGTGGTGCAGGATTTTGTCCATCGATAGTATGACCCTGCCACTAGATTCTCTTGGACCACCAGAGAACATAAAAAGCGGCGAGATCAAGCTTGAGCTTGGCGCGTAGAAAATGGACAGCAGTGGTTGGGTTTGAACCTCTCCGATATGGGCGTGGTCTGGTTTTGATGCCGTGTCTTTTTGGGTTGGTTTACGAGGCGACCTACTGACCTACGGACGCCAACCTTTTTGGGGGTTCCCCTACTCACTTCCTCAGTTTTGGGATTTAGTCACTTTTTGGGAAGAACATTTCAGTAAGCAAAAAGTCTGGACTTGTTCTGGCGAATCTTTTTGAGCCACATCCACGAAAGGCCTATTTTAAGACACACCCACTTAGGAAGTGAGCCCCTTGTAAGACGACACATCTGCGTGTCGCCATCGGCGCCGGCTGAGACGTGGAGAACTCCAGTCGCTTCGGCCTGAAGTTCGGCCGCGCAGCTCAGTGACATGTGGGATGTGCCGGCCAGGGCGGTCTTTTCCGGAGGTCCACGGAGCTTTCTGCACCTTTTCAAGTCGCTTTGCATGTGTCGCTTTGTCATTTTTGTGATCTTTTTGGTTTGTTTTACAGCCTAAACTGCTGTGATTCATGTGCTTTGATGAAAGAAACATAGTCCGGCCGCCAGAAAGGTTGGAAGGTTTGGATTGATGTGCCCCGGCGCATTGGTTGCTTGCGGCTAGCAAGTTTGGCACCAGAGGCTGAGCATAGTTCCGGGGCGTTCTCCAATCCAACCCGTTCCTTAAAATCGAAGTATCTATGTTTGCAGGAATGGGGGTGGGGGGGGGGGGGCAAAATGGTGAACCATGTTCTGCAAAGCGCTGTTGATGACCCAGAAGATGGAGGAAGCGCACCAAAGCGCTGTCACGTGCCATTTTGGCACTGAAGGCACAGACAGGGAGATGACGATGGCCTACATTGACATCCTCGATTATTGCAAGACGCTGGAGGTGGGGTCCTATTTGGAGTGCCGCTTTTTCCCCGGATTCCACCCTCACGCGGTCACAGCCACCTGCTGTTGTGAGGGGAGAACATCACAGGCGTACCGATTATTGACTTGACAGCTTTCCCACATGGCTGTGGGTCAAAATCCCGTACCTCAGTGACCATCCCAATCCCCACTAAAATAGACTAAAATGGGTGGTGCACCTGCCCCAAAATGGTAACATTGGTTTTGACCCACAGCCACATGTCTCTCGTGCTGAGACAGCTCGAAACCTCATGCAAGATCGATCGAACTCGCAGCAGCTTCTTGGTGCTCATGCTCGTTGGAGGGCTTATGGGTGTGTCTTGAAATTGCCCCCCCCCCCAAAAAAAAAACAAACAACAACAACAAAAAAGCAAAAAACACCAAAACAACACAAGCATGATTTTGGCTTTCCATTTTGGCGTCCCTTGAAAAGCCGAGCCTTGCGCCACCCACTTGCGCCAGAACTGGGTGGTGAAACCGCAGCTGCCGATGATCATCGCAGCGGCGGGGGATGGCGAGTACACTGCTCCGTGCCCAGGGCGAAGGAACTGGTTCGGATTCACGTGGAGCTCCGGGCCAAACCCATGGCCTATCGCAGGGCTCACTCAAGTTTTCCCACTTATTTAGAACCCTTTTAGAACCACAACAAGTGGCAGTTTCAATGGACACCACGAGTAAGTTGATCAACTTTTGAAGGGGCAGTCCAGTGACCCCGGTATCTTCTTGTTTGAAGTGGCCGGCATTTGGTTTTCAGAGTCGGCTAGTGGTTGGGCCTGGTGGCCGAGACTTTTCAAGCGCTCGGCTTGGCTGGCAGTTGTCCGCAGGCCTTCCTGCCGATGAAACCGAAGAGGCCTTGCACAACTGTGTAGCTATGCAAGCTCCTCGAACGGATCCAACTCAAGTGGAATCCTTCACTCACAAAGGTTTTTGACAAGGGATGGACCAGGCGAAGCTCGTGGCATGGTCTACCTTTTGCAGGAACATGCAGCCTGAAACGCAACTGCGCACTGCCATCATTCGATGAAAGCCAGAGAGATCAGGACCTACGCCGAATGTACTTGAGGGTGCGCACTTGCCACTAGGTCACCCACCGACATGCCCGGGCGTGTTGCGACGAATATGTGGGAGATTCTCACGTGTGGCCCAGGCAAAGAGGGCAATGTGTGTGTGTGTGTCAAAATTCAAAAAAATACTCGGACACTCCCAAAATGGATTTCGAAGTTTGCCTTTTTTGGCTTCCCTTTACAGCAAGCTGTCTGCATGGGTGACTTTTCCCATTTTGTGGGAAACATTTTTTTTCAGGCGGTTTTTGAACCAATGGTCATCCCATGTATCCCGCACCTTTTGATGAACCCCCACATGCGGCCCGGTACCGCCGAAGCATGAGGTACCACCTGGACTATGCCGACCCCTTCGTCCAGAGTGCGGCCCAGTACCTTAGCAGGAGGACCTGGCACCAGGCGAAATGCGAAAGCGAAACCTTCGCCGGAGAGACCAAAGTCAAGTCCATAGGTGTCCTTTTTGGTTGGTTTGCTTAAAAAATAGAGGGCGATTCCTGGTTTAGCTGGGGGTTTATTCCATTTACCAGGGGAACCCATCTGTTTTTCCAAAAGGCCACCTATGGTCAAGTCCCTGTCTTTCCACTGTGGTTTTATAAAACACATCACCCAAAGCGGGGCCGAGTTGAAGTGAGCTCCCCTCGGTGATGTGTGAAGCAGAAACATAGGGAGCTTTCTCTTTCTTTTTTCTATTTTTCGCTGCTTCTGTCTCTTTATCTTTGTCTTCCTCGTTCTCTTTTGCTACAGTGGACTGCTGGGACTAGGCGTCTTTCCCAAATTGGAACGCTTGTGACTTGTCGAAACCGCCCGACAAATTTCCCGCGATCCCCCTGCGATCCCCAGAACGCTATGAGAGCCATTTGGAAGGCGCCGGCGGCCATTTTTTCTTTTTTTTGCGCCAGGTGCTGCTGCCTTTCAACCTGCTTGCGCGGCTGCTGCCGCCCAACCCTACGGAGGAGGACGGGCAAAGCTCGAGTATAGGACGCGAGCGATTTGATGCGCAGCACCGCGTGGGCCGCGAGTTGATGATGAAAACACAGACCCCAGAGAGGGTAGATCAACCTCTGACCTGTGATGAAGGTCACTTTCTTGAGCGAAACGACGACTCAAAGCATTCGGGTTTGTGCGCAGCGGTTTGCTGTTTTAGTCTTTGCAGATCCTCCAACTTCAGGCGGATTTATCTGCTCGGAGCAAATCGGGCAGGATCTGAAGCCCCTCCGAAGGTCCATGCAGCGCGCCCTGCGCCCCGGGTGCGGTTGGGCCAGCTTTGGTTTGCAGCATCCATGGCTTTCCCTACGCGAATCCTTTAAGCCATTGGAGCAGAAAGATGAGATCCTTACAGCAAATGCCACAGCGATCTTGCTTCAGCAAAGTTGCAAGCATGCCGCAAGGGGTTGGTTCACTACCGAGTTTGGGCTGGCTATATGAGTGAAACTATGTTGTACTCCGCTTTTTCCTTGCTTAGACTTGGATGCCCAAACATGAGGTGAGGCTGTTCTGACTACGACTTTTTGGCAACTTGTCAACCCCTTGTTTGTGGTTTCCCAGACACTGGAACATGCCCATTTTGCATTCTCTATTTCTTTTGGTTGACTTGGCACAAGCCACCAAGTAGGGTGAATGGGCGATTGACAGATTACCTGAACCAACTCCTTGAAATAAGCGGTGCACACAATGCCAGACTCGTTCTTTGTCATTTTGCCGAACAGATGTGTGAGTTACCGGTCAATGTTGGCTTTCGCGAAGAGGGAAGTGGTCCGCCGGCAGAACCGGACATGTTGGTCAATTAAAAGGATCAATCCGCTTTCGACTTGGCAAAGCAGCATCTGGTGCTCAAGGGAACGCCATTCGCTTGATACATTATCGTTGCTTGCAGGTATTCGGCCTGGCAAAACACTCTCAAGAAACATATCGATAAATGGATTCCAGACGGACAGATCGATGCCGTATTATTTGTATACACGCAAAACAGAGTCTTAGCCTTGGTTGCATGGAAGAACCAAGGACGGAACTACTTGGTTGTCGTTTCCATTGCTTATGTTGGCACCCGAGTTCCTCGTACTTGTTGAAGACTAGAGTGCGGTGGGAACGGTTTGCATAGCTCTGGCTCCATAGCGTTGCGCCAAAATCCAAGTCGAAGAACTGGGATGGATGTACTTGTGGTGCAGGAGCTTCGGTTGTGCCGATGTGGTTGCCGTAGCCTTCAAACGTGAAAGGTATGGAAGACCGCGATATTTTTTTTGTTGGCAAAACTGGCATTGCAGTTCCATAACTTTGTCCCTTGCGTAGACTTACTACATGCGCATTGAAATGCTCAGACATGTTTATATCGGTGTGTCATTTTTTAGGAGCGCCGGCCCCTCCCCCGAACAAAAAAGAGATACCCTCAGAAACAGACACACCCACAAGCTTTTGGGAGATGTCAATCATTGGGTTGTTGGAGTGATTGGGGAGAGATTCGGCACGACCTCTGGCGACTTCTCAAACCTTCTGGGATGCTTCTTCGCGGAGGACGGCCCAGGTGTGCCAAACATCGGACAACGCCGTATTAAATCACGCATCGCCACATGGTGCTAATCATAGCTGCAACGCATTTTGGATGAGTTTACTGCAAGGAGCAAGTCCAGACAATCATCAAGGGTACATTTAAACATTTATTTCGTGTTGACTATGGCAGCATAACTAACAGCATGATTAACATGCAATGCGCAGCCAACCCAACTATGATTTGTGCGGCTGTGCAGCTCTGCGCCATTCAAGTGATGCTGAGCTTCATACGCAGCCAATATTTACAGTCATTTGCAACGGCACATGGCGTCTGACGCACAATAAACAACATACAAAGAGGACACGGGGCTTATTCAACAAAGTCGCCTTCAGTTATGTTTTCGTTTATAGAGAGAGAAGCTGTTTCGTGGCGACATGTGCAACGTCAAATGGACAAACACACGCACACATACACATGTGTGCATCCAACTTTACACAGATACACATAGATATGCATCCATACATATATGTAATAGATAAATCAGGTAGATAAATTCATGGATACATAGATAAGCGGATAAATAGATTAAACAATGGACAAGCCAACAACTACACAAACAACACATGAATGAATGATACATAATTACAACATAGATGTATTAGATAAGAACTTGCATATACTATACACGTGAAGGCGGGGATCCAAATTGTGTTTGGCGGTTGGGTACTTCAGCAGGTCTCATCAAGGGCCCTGCTGCAGACAGATATCGAGCCGGGCCCTGAGTCGCTTCGGCGCGCAGAACGGGGTGGGGGGGGTGGGGGGGTTCCAAACTCATTTTGTCCACTTCTTCTTCCATGTTTGGTGAGAATAACCGGGTTCCTATCGCTCGTACCAAGGGACAATCATGCGTGCAGCATGCGGAAGAAGCCGGTTATAGGGTCCACGTTACTGCCCGCCCAAAACACCTCAACCATTTGTAGAGGAATCTCTCTTTGGGGGATTGTTGGTTCCACGTTGATTTGGGGAGCACATGAGAAGGACGAGAGGAGGGCCAGGAGTCTTTCAGCGATCAAAGGAGCAGGAAATGGATGGCCATGTCACTGGAGATTTCCATGTACCAGCTCTTCCCCCCAAAGCTTTAATAAAGTCTTCCAGAAAAGGGGGGGAATGCAGGCTGGCGCTGGGTTATCGATTTTGGGGATGACACAAGCAATGATGGGTTTGTTCAGGTGATTAGTTGTGCGTTCCGGTTTCAACTCGTGTGACGTGTTGGTTTGGGTGCCAGCTTCAGCATCAAGGTTCCACTCGGAGTGGGATATTCGACTGCGCTCTCTGGCGTGAGATAAGTTGTAGGTGCAGATTCCAAGTTGGCCAGATGACTGCAGAAGCTAAGCACGTAAAGGGCAGTGGTTGAACTGTTTGTCCTCCAAACCTGCAGACCATCAAGCAATCAACGCTTGCAGTAATCTGTGTCAAAGCAATAGCTGTTGTTAAGAGCAGCGCTCGACTTCACCACCAATCAGCCTGACCTAGTCGTGAGTGGCGCATAAGACATGGCGGCGATGCTCGCCACCAGTTGGAGACGTCTGAGACCTGACACGCCTTTCATTCCATTGCTGCATAAGGTTTACAGACGTGCAAGACGTTTGGACGCATCATGTTGCGCTAAGCATTGCCGATACTTAGGAAAGCATGATGAGCAAAAGAGCATCAAGCACATTGCTGAGAAGCTGTTTCTTTCTGTTTGGACTTGTGTACATTTAGTGGGTTGGTACGTGACTTCGCAATATGAGCAGGGATGAACAGGGAACCAACTACGATTGTGGAGGAAGAAAGATGAAAATGGATATCAGGGACAACACAAAATGACAAACCGGTGTGATGATCAGGGCTGGTCAGGAATGATCAGGATGATAGACAACAAGCGACGACCCGGACAGAGGATGGCAAGGTACGACACGAGAGTATGATTAAGGAGGGATGATGAGCAACCGTGGTTCATGCGGTATGGCAGAGAGTGGCAGGTGGCTTTTCTCAATAAGGGACAATGCTGGCTGTGGGTCAAAACCAATGGTGCCATTTTGGGGTAGGTGCACCACCCATTTTAGTCTATTTTAGTGGGGATTGGGATGTCACTGGGTACAGGATTTTGATCCATGGCCATATGTTTATGCCAATTCGAGGGGTCTGAAAGCGGAAAATATCGGAGCGGAAAATATCGGCAGCGCATGGCGGCTCGAGGTGCCACGCGGTGCTCTTCGAAGTCTGCGTTCCAAACGGCAAAAGCCGGAGAAGGAGGCGTGGGTACCAGGGTACCCAAAATGGAACCCTGGCAAATGGAAACATGGACTAAAATCTGCGGTCCCCTGGTGGTTTAACTTTGACCCATACCCAAATACTCCTGAGGCTTGGGGAGCTATGGCAAGGTCATGGGCCTAACTGGTCCTCGGCCCCTCGTAGTCGCGAATGGTCACCAGGTTGCCGTGGCTGCCTTTGACGGAAAGTTCTCGGGCGCCAAAGCTGCAGGCAATATCGCCACCTCAAAGGGAACTTCTTCCATCCTTTGCTTTCCCTGGCTCCCTGCGTTGATTCATCGGGACCCCTGCAATTGCCTGCGGCGTAGCCCTTGGTTCATGGTGTCAGAGCAAGCAAGCTGCACATGCTTCAGATGCCATTTGCCACTTCGCAGGGCGGCCGACATGACACCCACGTGCCGGGCGGCTCAACGCAAGAGGCAAGAGACTTTGGAGCCGTGAAGCGAGCTGTCCCGAGACGGCTGAGACTTTCAATTGCCAAGGGGTTTGACTCGGTCTTTGTGAAAGCGAACCTGCAGGGTGTCTCTCTTTTTTTGAGGGTACCCCTTTCTTCGCACTTTCTTCGCACTCCTTGATCTTTGTGGTTTATCAAAGTTGATTCCAGCTTCCGTGTCGAAGGAATCCGTCCATCAACTGCCGGCCAGTATGCCGGCACGCCCTTGGCAGCGGACGAAGTGAAGAGGCCAAAGGCCATCGCTGACGTCGGGTCCGGCCGCGCACCCTGAGGCCGACAATCCTCCTGGGAGGTGCAGATCCACCCACCCGAGCCTCTGCACGAGCCGCGTGACCAGGGACCCAGTGGGGCGGAGCCGGACGGAGATGCGCGGGCATCACACCTTTTGGGGTACTGTACTTGGACCAATGGATGGTCACGCCGATGAGCCTATGAGGGTTCCAGAAATCTACTTCACCTTGTGGAGTGAACCATGACAATCCTTTGAAGCGTGACAATCCTCCATGGAAGGTGCTTGAGCATCGTACAGCACGCGAGATATGTGGCCACTCATCGAAAGGTTTCAGGCCCTTCGAATTATATATACCCACACACACACACACACTCGCACGCACTGGGAGTGGCACTGGGTGCGCTGGAGCAGTATCAATCACCTCTTTGGAATGGCATGAGAATCCTGGAGACACCAGAGAATGACATTTTTGAGGAAAAGAACAGGCACTTGGAGTCACTCATGGCAGGCCCCGAAGACCCCGAAGGCCAGCCAGTGGAGTTGGCCCGACTGAGTTGAAGACAAGTAGTTGGGCGTGTCTTAAGATCGGGGCGCCCCCAAACATGGCATGGGTCTCCGGTTGGTTTCACTTTATGCCCATCAACAGGATCACAGTCTCAGCTGGACCCAAAGCTTGGACCCAAGTCGTTAGTCGGGTTTCATCTTTGGACCGATTGCAGGTACTAGCAAGTCGGGCTGGAACAGCTCAGATGCCAAGAGCCCCGGGCAGATGACGCCGGTGGTACAGCAGCTGCCCCAGCCGGGGCGCAAAAACAGGCCTGATTTAGTTTTCGCAGGTCAGAAGTAGATGGCACAATCCCGCCATTTGGCTTTCATCCCCTTTGCTTAATCGAAAGAAACAAAGCAATGTGCGATCATCTACTTTCGCCCTGGCCGCAACATGCGCGAATGGGGGCACTCGCTGGTTGCAAATCCGATGGTTGACATGGGAGCAACAAAGGAACACAGTGGACCCGTAAAGCCAGGCGGACCCACCCGTCATCCCGATTGTTCCCAAAACCTTGGATGCAATGCCAGAAGGCAGTCCTTGCGCGCACACGTGTTTGTGTGTGTGTGTGTGTGTCTCTCTGTGTCTCTGTGTCTGTGTCTGTGTCTGTGTCTGTGTCTGTGTCTGTGTCTGTGTCTGTGTCTGTGTCTGTGTCTGTGTCTGCGTCTGTGTCTGCGTCTGCGTCTGCGTCTGCGTCTGCGTCTGCGTCTGCGTCTGCGTCTGCGTCTGCGTCTGCGTCTGCGTCTGCGTCTGCGTCTGCGTCTGGGTCTGGGTCTGTGTCTGTGTCTGTGTCTGTGTCTGTGTCTGCGTCTGTTTCTGCGTCTGCGTCTGTGTCTGCGTCTGTGTCTGTGTCTGTGTCTGTGCGTGTCTGTGTGTGTCTGTGTGTGTGTGTGCGTGCGGGTACTCAGTGGTCAGAACTCCCTGATCCTGCAAAGGCAGGGGGAACTTGTCTTCCGCCGACGCTTGGCATTGGCGGGGACGCCCAGCAGTCTGGCGAAATTGGGGGCCACGGCTTTGTTTGTCGTTCCACTGAGTATCGGTATAGGCAGCAGGTGTTTTTTCTTCTTCACAAACTGTTGCATGATTTATGTTTCGTGTTTGGCTCATGGCATTCATGCTAGGAGACGCGTGTCCATTCCGAGTAGCTGAAACCTGCATGAGGTTTGTTGGCTTGGGCCTGTGCTTCTCAGGTGCCACACGAAATATTGACACTTTGTTGAATGTTCCATGTTCTTGGGAGCACCTGCCAAATGGATCGTGTCACGCTGGCCATGTCAATGTCTGCATGGACGTCTACACCTGCCAATCAAAACCCGGGTAATTGGAGGCATTTGAATACCGGGTTTTGATTGTTGCAAGCGTGCCGTTTGCCCCTCGCCGGGCAACGCATGGGACTTGAGGTGCTGACCCAGCGGGCGAACACGGGCGGCCGCACCCTTGAGGAGTCAGCGAGCTTTTTTTTGTTTCTCCCCTTTTTTTCTCCCACCATTTTGGAGCTGTTTTTTTTTTGAAGTCCTACATTGCCATCATACGTATGAGTGAAGCTGTGCAGTTCTTACGCAGTCGACACATGAGCCCTGACAACCCCGGGCCTTCCAAATCGCACAAAAGAGATGACTCACAATATCTTGAGGGAATGGGATGCTCTATGCCGAGTTTCAGACTTCCAGTCGCAGGAAGTCACAAAACAATCAAGCACCAAAGCCTCGAAAGACGGTCAAGAGTGCAGCCTCCTTGCAGTTGGTTTGATATGGACACCAAGATGTCGACCATGCGGAGGGCTCCTCAAACTGCTTGCTATTCCGCTTAGGAAGGACTCCCAACAATTGGAAGGGAATCAGAGCAATCGGCTCACATGGCTGTCCTTTGCTGAAGGTGCCGTTTGCTAATTCCATTACCTGCTACAACCAGGGTTTCTTGGTGAAGGGCCCGTCTCACCAGAAGTGCAAGAAAGCCTCATGTGCTCATGACGTTGTAGTCAATTCAAGCAAAAGCGGCAAGTGTCTCGCCGGCAAAAAGACGAAAAACAAGAAGAAACAAGATCAGCCAAGGTCACTGGGCTCAGGGCTCCACATCCTTGCGAGACCGTCTCTCGCGTGTCGCGGGCCCAGCGTTGAGCCAATCCGTGCGCGACGAAAAGGAAAGACATGTGAAGATGGAGGTAGGCGTTTTATTCCATTTGCGACGGTAATCTATTTCTAGAAAAGGCCACTTGTGGACATGTGTTTTTTGAGTTGCCGGATTTTTGCTTGGTTCTGCACAAGGGAAGCCCAACGACACCCCGCCGATATGTTGGCTGAGCCATGAGTTTTTAGGTCCTGAGTCCTTATTGTAGCCCCAGAAGCTGGCAGATGCGGCTTGGATAACATCAGCACCCCGCGCAAGTGTGATGCTCCTTCCAAGTAACCTATCCATTGACCAAAAGGATATTTTCCACGACATGGGAAAAGTTGCCCATGGTCAAAACTGGGGGCGGAAGGGTTTACTGATCACTTTTAATGTCTTGGTCAAGGATTCAAAAACGAACTGGACGAGGTGCCTGGAATTTCGGGTGTCCAAATGCCGGTGCCCTGCCAACCAAGCATGCACCTGGAGCGAGCGAGTGCGGGAGAGCACGAGGTCATGCCTACACCTGGTGGAGGTTTGGCACGGGCCCCGGGGGCTTTTTCGCGGTCCAGGTGGCCTTTTGGGGTCGGTTTCAAACGAAGCCAAAAGAAGGATAACTACCCATTTTGGGGGTACCCTAAAGATTTTTTTCGTACTTCTCCCATGGTAACATCACCTTGGCCCATGCAAAGGAAGTTTCCTTTTGCGAGAAAGGGGCCCTGCTGTTGGACATGTTGATTGCAACCATTCTTTTCAGTTGATTTCAAGCACCAACCAGGAGGGGGGTCAATACGCCAAGAGCGCCAGGCAGTGGTTCGGTTGCAATGTCCGACAGCTTCAGGTGTCCCCGACGGAGTTCCTGAACTGCGCGCAGTTCTCTCCCCAGATCTGCCCCTCCCCGCTGCCGGATATCCAGATCCAGTGGCCAGAGCTGCCGGGGACCCAGCTGGCGGTAGCAGGGGGTGGTCGCGGGTAGAGGGGGCGACAATGGGGGAGTTTGGTTTTTGGGTTCCACATTCATTTTGCAAAATGGGGGCTAAGAGATGTGACATCTCCTTTGTGAAGTTGAGTTTCCATTCTTTTTGTTTCATATATATATATATATATATATATAAAAAAGTCCAGGCCAAATGGCCCCCCGAGCAAAAACCTCTCGATTGTTGCTTTCTCAAGCAGAAATCAGTCGGCGACCAGGAAGTTAGATTGAGCATCGCTGAGGCCAGAGCTGGATTTCCAGGACACCTCGTACCAGAGCTTTGACAACATGCTGAGTGACAGCATGATAAGGCCACTTGCGTCGATGTGCGGCCGGTGTTGTCGTGGTGGATGCCTTCGATTTTTGGGAACCTGAGCAGGAAAGATCTCAGGATATGTCAAGAGCGTTGCTTGCGAAGGAATCCGAGAATGTGAGGCTCGGACTTGCAGTTGTCCCGTGCATATGGACTGTCAAGAGTCTCGCACCTTTTCCGGGACGACCACGGAAAACAGCAACATGAGCATGAGAGACTGTTGCAGATGTTGTGCCATTCCTGCCGCAAAGCGAACACCGCACTGGGTCACTGAATGCCACTGTTTGCCAACATACAAAATATATCCAACAAGCGTATTGCTTGACCACAGGGAGGTGGTCAGTTTGGTATTAACAACTATTATGTTTTGGCCAATAAGGAACCAGGTCAGCATTGGATGTATCGGACTCACTCGTTTGCTTCGAAGTCGGACTCCCGCCGGCTCGGAGTGGACAATGTTCAGGGCATGCGTGCATCTTTTGGAGGGTTGAGGATGAATGCTTTTCGCGTTTTATGAGGGTCGGTGGATCGCATGGAGACATGGCCATGGCAAGCAAAGTGGCTGGAGGTCCAACTCCCCGCCTTCATGTCCACGGGGCCTCAAGAGAATATCCCACCCATGGCTGGCTCCCGCTTTTTGTGGTGGGTTGGTCGGGCCGAAGCCTGTGGTCGAAAAGTCAGGCAGCGGAGTACTGGCCGCGGCCAAGGCCTGAGAGGTGTTTGCGCGGCCCGTTTCTTTTCTTTTCTTTTTTCTCTGGCTGGTGCGATAGGTAGGAAATGACCCCGTCCGTGTTTCTGGGTGTTGAATGAACCGGGATTCGGGGATCCCCGAAGAAAAAGGAAAACCACAGGATGGATGGCTTTTCTTGGGGTCTTTTCATTTTTCTCATTCCCAGCCGAGAACCAGCAAGTTTGCCAGATCTGCCGCGTTTGGTTGGAGTCCACTGCCATCAGGTTCTGCGGATTTTGGTGGGGTCAACTCGATGTCGAAGCTTGGGTGCATTCGCATTCCGTTTCCGGGACCAGGCACGCAAGACGCATTTCACAACGGTCATACCTTGATTTGCAAGACCCAGCCAGCACTCACAATAGTCAATAGCTACCTCAGTTTCTGCTGATGTGGCTTCTGCTTTGAAGAATCTCTGCACATAGTCAGGATAGATAGGGATCAGGCATGCAACCGCTTGGCTCGTGAGCAGTTAGGCAAAGGCCCACACATCTTCATGCAAAGAGACTTCCAAGCACATGGACGAGCCTTTATAGCCACAGAAAAAAGCTGCTTGTCCACCAGAAGACGGGCCAGAGACCGTGCTTCATGGAACACGCCGTGATCTCCGCAAGATGCCACTCATGTCATGTCGCCTTGGTGTGCTTTGAGATGTGGAAGTGGACATTCTTCCCCATCAATCACGTGGATGTGTTTCTTTTGAGGGCATCCTTTTCGGGGTTTGACGGGAACGCAGAAGGCAACCGCCATTTCTGTTTGGGTTCCACTACTTTGGCACGTATGCCTGGATTCGTGGAACTTGCCCCCTTTTGAGATGGGAAGGTTCCCTCCAACTTCGTTTGACACATGGACAGCAAAAACAAACAGGGAAGAAAAGCAAAGGAAAGCAAGGCGAAAGAGAAAACCCATGCGTCTAGGGGTACCTTCCCCATTCTTCCAAGGATCCTTCTGTTCAGGAAACCATCAAAAACCCAGGGGAAACAACCGGTTTTTGAAAAGAACGATGGTTGCAAAGAATGGTTGGAATCAACCTCTAGGATGGGGGTCCTTCCTTTGAACCGCGAGACCTCAGGTGGAGCGGGCGCGCTCTCTGCAGCCTTCCGGGACTGCGGCTGGTCTGCGGACAGCGAACCCTTGTCGCCGGAGCCTCGGTTCCGGAACCGACGTCCAGAGGTGCCATGGGTAAGACACCCATTTGGGCTTGGTAGGGTTAATCCACCCCTTTAGAATGGATTCAGACAACCATGATACTGGCCAAGCCCACACGAATTTTTTGGTACCACATATGCCGTACGCAGACATGGATATTACTTTCTTCATTGGCGACATTCCCTGAAGCTATTGGACCTTAGACTTTGTGTCAAGTCTTGGCCGAGCGAGTTGTGAAGCCCCAAGCGCCCCAAACGCCCCAAGCGAGGCCTCAAGTGTCTGCGCTCTCCGGAGGTGCGTGCTTTTTTCCACATGGCACCTGGGCGGGGAGCCTTCTTGTTGTGCCAGCATGTGCCAACATGTCGGTTTCTCGAGTCGTGAAGTCAATGCTGGGTTAGCAGTTCGAGAACCTTGGAGCACTTGGAGAATGGGAATGTTTTGTTTTGGCCTTTCGCCTGGTATTCTGGCTTGCTTGTTTGCTTTTTTGCTTTGCTTGCCTGCTTGCTTGATTTCTTGCGTCCTTGCTCGCTGGCTTGCTTGTTAGATTTTGTTTCTTGCTTGTTTGTTTGTTTTGTTGTTTTTGTGAGTGTTTGTGTTTCTTTGCTTGTTTGTTTGTTCATTCTTTCTGTCTTTCTTTCTTTCTTCCTTTCTTGCGTGCGAGAGCGTGCGGGTGGGTGGGGTGGGGTGTGGGGTGTGGGGTGTGGGGTGTGGGGTGTGTGGGATGGGGTGTGTGGGGTGTGTGGGGTCTGTGGGATGGGGTGTGGGGTGTGGGGTGGGGGTAGGGGTGGGGGTGGGGGTGGGAGTGCAAATGGCGATGTCCGTTTTTCCCCGTCAAACCCCATCCACAAATCCCTGCTCCCCTACAAATTAAGATGGAACCACAAGACCACCGGAGAGGAAACTCTGTAAAAAGGGGGACCCTCTGTGGTTTCCATGCTATTTTGCTGGGGCATAGGTGTCCTTTCTAGGTTAGTTTGGCCGGGGTCCACTGGTTTAGATAGGTCCACAAAGCATTTACCAGGGAAATCAATCTCTTTGGCCGAAAGGTCACTTCTGGTAGGCGGAACACTTTTCGAGGACCCCCCGCAATTTCTCAGAAAAGAAACACCGCCCTTGCGAGTCGGAGTCGGAGACAGCCGCTACGATCCCATAGAAGAAAAAAACAACGGGGCGGAAAAATGCGGCATGGACCAAGACGCTCGCCAGCAAAGGTTCCCCCCCCGCCCCCCCGCCCCCCGGGTCTCAGTGCCTCCAGCTTCGAGTCACGGCGCGAGAGGAGTACCCAGCCCTCCTCTCGCGCGGCCGTCCTTCCGCCTGGGCAGCCTTCGGTGCCCCGGGTTGCGGCAGGGCTGGAACATGCCCGGGGAGCCCAGATTGGGGGTTTGGTGTGGGGGGGGCTGGGGGGGTTGGGGGGTGTGCGCAAAGTGGGTGCATCTGGGTTAGATTTGAACGCAATTGTTTTCTTTTGTGTGAAACCATTTTTTGTTTCTGAGGATGCCTTCTTTAGTGGCTTTGAAGGGAAACCAAGGGGCGGTGGGGTGGATCAGTAGACTGGACTAAGCCTTTTTGCATGTTCGCCCACAGCGAAGTAGGAATCCGTCGACTTGAGCAGTTAGTTTCCAGCATGACCAGCCAAAAAGGTGTCCGAACTCCATTTTGCGAAACACCCAGACAGTCCGCTTCCTTCCTGCCGGGTGAAGGGAATCGGTGTGGGCTTTCCTTTTGGCTTCAAGTCTTCAACCAGCCCAAACTCCTGCGGGTGGTAAATCCACTTCGCGCCAGAGGTCGAAACCTCGGAACTGGGATCCATCACCCGACTGGTCGATATTTTTTGTCCACACGGAGGGGTTACGCCTCGGTGATCATTCAGCCTCCTTCCCTCTTTCTGGTTGACGTTGATTCCGGCAGGCTCAACAAGGCTCGCAGGCAATTCTTTGGGCCCAATTTTTGGGACAACGCTTTTGGCAAGCTCGGGGCGAGTTTGCTGAGTGCCCCAAGGTGTTTGGAGTTTGTGGGGGCCTCCTTTGTCCACATCATCCAACGCCTGGAGGCTGGCCGGTTTGACGAGCTGCTGGTTGTGTTTGATTGGCTGCAATTCTTTGCCTGGCTGGTTTGGCTTGGCATCGCCGGGCTTATCAGGCATGCTTGATTGCTTTGCTTGCTTGTTATCTCAAGCGGTTGCGCGCTTGCTTTAAGCTTTGTTCAGTTAGTCGGCTGCTTGGATGGATCCGACATTGGCTGCGCTGTGAATTTCTTCTCCCCTTCCCATCAGGCATTCGGGGGCACAGGATACTTGAGCCAGCGATTTCCCCCTCCAAGAAATGGTATTGGCGCCATCCACCTCTTGAAGTGGAAACAACGCCCCATTTGTTGTATAAAAAAGCTTCGTCTCCCTTGTCAGTGGCATCAACCAAAGCGGCGAACGCGGCGAGCGGCGAGCTCGCGTCGAGGCGATTCTTCACTTTGTGGCCGCCCCGGGAAACCACATCTACCACTGGCCAGCGCCCCGGAGTTGGCGTTGAGGCAAAACGGCGCTTGCAAGTCCTGTTCTAGCTGGCTGTGTGTGTTTTGGTTCTTTCTCGGATCCATGTTTTGGGGTGCATCCTGCCATCCTCAGAGTTACCCTATGAACATGGAATCTGACAGGTGGAAGACCATTTTCCTTTTCAAGGGACACCCAAAGGTCGGGTTCCATGGATAAGACTGGATATTCACGATCCAGATCCTGCGAGGTACCTGAAGAAGCTGCGAGCCGTGCGAGCCATTGGCGGCGTGGGTCGGCAGCGCCCAGCTCAGCATCCGAGGTTCGGCCGTAGGTGAGCTTTCAATGGGTTTTTTTTTGGATGGCGCCAAATTAAGTAACACAAAAAATGGAGGTGAAGAAGGTTAGAATGGATTCCACTGAGACATGCGATTGAATAAGAACATGATCCACAGCTGGCCGGACCAAAAAGCGCATGAAAGTCGGTGTGTTCCGCGTGAGGACTGGGCTCTACCTCAGGCACAGGAAGCCACGGGGCTCGCAGGACAGGGGACCCAACGAGGGATCTCTGACTCCACGGCACATCGGCAGCCGGGTTGGAAAGCTGTTTTCCGCGTCAAGCACACAACTTGTGCGCTGCGCAGAAACACTGATTGAATTTGCCTTGGAGCAGTAGATGGTTCTTCACATTCTTAAAATAATCGTTTTATCTTGTCCGAATCCGTGCCCACACTTTGACGCAACTTGTCAAACAGGATTCGCAACCATCCCAGGGCACCCACCGGAGTTGCTTTTTGATGTGAAGCAACAGCATGGGGGGAAGCAAGAGGGCCCTGCTTGTCATGTCACTGAAGGGGCACATGTTTATCCCCTTACCGGCTGAAAAACGCCAGGCCATCGCAGAAACATGCCATCCACGCGAACGACCTCGAGTGTCGGTTGATTGCTGCCTTCCAGTTGGCTTCCGACCTAAGGGCTTTCCATTCGGGAGTCTATGGCACTCCACTGGTGGTTCCCTTGCTATGGCTATGCCTTTTTTCAGGATTTGCGGCCTCAACAAGCTGGTTGATGGACATCTGCATCGCAGACTTGTCATATGGGTGTTGACCAAAAGGGTCTTCACATGGGATGACCATTGGGGAACCTTGGGGGCCTTGTCGGCATTGATCAACCCCCAATATGTTCATCTGAAGAAAAAAAAGACGCCACGCGCGAAAATTGAGCGCGCGCGGATTGAGCGCGCGCGGATTGAACACGCACCAGAGGAGTCCACTTTGCTGTACTTGATGCTCACCTTGGTGGTGGCCACGCTGGGCTTCATCGCCCAGTCCGCCATCCTCTTCAGGTGACGTCCTTGGCGAATCGGGGGGGGGGGTCCGCGATCTGGTGGCCCCGGAACTCAAAGTCTAACCCACCTCGCTCCCACAAGGAATGGGGTGCTAGAGTACTCAGCAACCATGCAGCCAAGTTTGGACGTCGTTTAGTTCATGGTTCACTTTGCTGCATTGTTCCTTGTGTGTCTTGGGGATTCAACGTGTTGTTGGCATGTTTGTTCTTTTTCTCAGATCCAAGAACATTTACAAGCAGGGCGGGCTACTGATTCACTTCAGCTTCAGGGTTGTTCGCCGTCACTTGCCCATCGCCAGGCTGCAGCCCAGACATAGCGCGTTCTTCGCCGTTGCGGGCTCAGGTTGCGACGGGCCCAAAAGCGGAAGCTAACACGGCACGAAGGACTCGCCAACTCACAGCGCGGACCGCGGATGTTCCAAAAGGGAGGGCCCCAAATTTGGCACTCTGAGACTTTGTCCTTTTTTCGGGGTACCCATGTTTTGTGGTCAAAAAGGGGATTAAATGGGAGAACCAAAAGGAAAACCGAAGCCCTTTTTTTTGGGGCCTGATTTCTAGTCAAAGACACGCCCTTCTAATGGTTTTGATATCTTGGCTTCGACATGTCATAGGCTTTGCTTCTTCCGCCCTTCGCGGACATCTTAGCGCTGGTGAACATCACCCTCTTCCTCTGCGGCGCAGCGGAGCGGGGAAAGCGGGCCAAGAGTCTTCCGCGGAAGTTGGCGGTGAATCAAGCCCACAAACGGTCGAAGACACTTGGACCCACTTGGGCATGTCTTTTTTTGGGGGGACCATCAAACTGGTGGGCGTCCTTTTGGCTTCCCTTGAAAGCCAACCAGAAGGGGGTACTATCACAAAAAGACGCACCCACTTGGAGCAAACAGTTGTTTACCTTCAGAAACCCAAAGAGATGTCGGACTGGCACCGAGCCAAAACCAGACGCGAAGGGAATCCAGGGAGCCAAAGGGCAGGGAACCAATGCCCCCTTACAAGTGGTTGTTGCACTTTGTATCCCCACCGAATCCGATAATCCTGTCCACCAAAGGGCTAAGATAAACACCAACATGACCGTGTTTCCTTTTTTGAGTTGTAATCCTTTTGGATGGTAAGGGTCAGGTAACCCGTCAGCTGGGTGGCTTGGATGGGTGGTTTGGATTTGGACTTGAACCCCTTCTTCTTTTTGAGGGTAGATGGGCCACCACCTTTCTAACCACCAACAATCCAAGCCACCAACTGGAAGGAAGCGGAGTCAAGGGAAACCAAAAGGACCCCCCCAAGCCTTCCGTCCACGCCAAGCGCTTGCGGCGAGGACGGCACCACCTCCTGCCTCTTTGTGGTGGCGTCCAACTGGAACTCCCACATCGGCACCTCAGCTTAGACCGAAAGCGGATGGACCGGATCTGACCGCTCGTTTTTTTTTTTTTCTTGGGGGGGGGGGGGTGCGCCGCTTTGCTGTGTTTTTTCCATACCCCCCCCCGGCATACCCACCCCCATACCCCCCCTCCCCAACAAAAACAGACAGAAACACACGGCATGTCCAGGTCCAATTCGTTGAGTTCCCTTGTTCCAGCCGGGCCAACGAGTTTTCCTGAGCCGAGGCCTGCTGTACCGGCTCATGGCCATGGAGAGATGGCGTTCCGCGGGGCTGTTGCACGTGGGGGGGCCCAAGTCCGGGCGGCTGGGGCGGCCGGGCGGCGCCGAAGGCGCCGTTCTTTTGGAGGGCCACCCGTTTTGGGGGTGGCTAAAGCCAACAGAGCAGATCACCTAAGTATGAAACGAGGCTTCTCAGGTTTGATAACCTCTTTCAAATATGAAAGTGGGGAGCGACATGGGTGAGCATCACCTCCAGTTTGGCGAGTCAAGATGATTCCCATGGAGCGCCGAGATATTTTTGCTCTGAAGACTGACAGCTAGTGTCGCCGGATTCAGTCAGAGTGATTTGCGTATGGTCCATCCGCATGTACAAGCCTCAGACTGCTTGGAGGGGGCACAATATTGACCTTCAGCGAGATTCCATAAGTCAATAGTTCATATAGAGTATGGACATGTGGCCATGCCTAGTGGTAGGAGATTCCCGCGAAAGCTAGCGCGACGTTCTTACTTCAATGGCGCAGGCTCTAGGCCCCCCCAAAAAATCCGGCCACATAAACAGGGACAGGGAGGAAGGCAAGGGCAAGATTGAGAAGAGAACCTGAGGATTCAGCCAGTTTCGCGCGATCTGGATTTGAGCACAGCGTTTTTTTTCTCATCTTGATCTTCGTAGCCTGTGCGCTGGACGCTAGTAGTGCCTGTCTTCTCTACCACTTTGAATTGGCTCGCCGTGCTTGCTCCTTTTTTTACCGGGGAAGGGCCAGAGAATAATTTTGCCAAAGGCGCTACCAGCGAAGCCTGGGTTCTCCCAAAAAAAGGTGGCAGCCGGCTTACTCGCTCGCTCGCTAGCTTGCAGTTCTCAGCAGGGAACGGGGGAATGATCCCTACCAACCATCCCATGTGGCTGCCTTAAGGGGATTTTGTAGGTTCATTCCCAAAACCGTTGCTTCGGCACAGGTCCTTGGAGAGTACGTCATGGTCTTCGCCGTGAAAGTTTTCATGTGCCGATTGGTGAACCTCACCATCGCCTACTACGAGGCGAATGGGGAAAGCTGACGTGGAAAGATGCATGAAGAGAAGGGCGTCCTTTGAGGGTACCCTCCGGTGCACTAACATGGAACCCACCAGACGGTCCCTTTTAATTGAACATCGCGTTGCAGGATCCCTCAGGCAAGGTATCATTCACCCATGTTGCAGCTCTCGGTTTGGAGACCAGCCCTTATGTTGTGTTACATTTGGCGACAAAATTGTGTGTGTGTGTGTGCTCCACCACGGGCAATGCTTCTCACGCAGGACAAGCTGACTTTTTGGGTCCCAAACAACGAACGGTGTTTGAATGCCAGAAGCAGAGACGTGGGCGCTACTACGAACCAACTCCACTTCCTGACAGTTTCGATAGAGCCATCAACCGGCCACCTTGACCCAATTGCGGGTGTCTTAAAATATGGGAGAACCCCAAAATGGTTGGTTTCCTTTTGTTTTTCTTTCAAGACAACACAAAACGGGGTACCCCCAAGAAAGAAGAGAGCGGGACACTGTGAGCGTGCGCTTTTTTCACGTTTTGAGTGGAAAATACACTTGACCTATGTTTGTTTAGATATTAGCTGAAGTGCAAATAAATCCGATTGGACAGAACCTTCTGTGTAAAGTATCATTTTAAATTGAATCATTCTAATTTAAATTATATTATAGCATAGAATTGGTGGTTGGATTTATTCCTCATCAACTTATGCTTCAACTAGCTTAATTGTAATGTTCTGTTACTGTTGGGAAGATGCAATGTCCAGTAGGATTCTGATCAAGTATTTCCTTATGTTCGAATTCAAGCTGAATTTTAGAGAGCAGCCGTTGGTGGAGATGTGAATTGAGTACGAAAAACGCTACAAAACACTCTGTGTTACGGTGTTTTTGACCATGGTAGTGCAGGGGGCTAGTAAACAAAACAAAAAACACGATTTCGGGACATCTGAATTATTTTTTTCTCGATTCTACTTTATATCTTTATCAAGTTCTACTCAATTCTGAACTGAAATTAAATAGAAATGGTTAAGGGAACACTCCAATCAATTTGTTATCTTTTAAATTAGATTTGCACATTATGCTTATTCTATTTCAAAATACATGCTACACGGAAGTGCCTTTCCAATAGGATTGTCCTTACAAATCAGTAAGCATCTAAACAACATGCATTAAGTATTTATCAAGTTCTATGTAATATCTATCTCACATTAAATATATTTTAATAAGGAGCGAATCCAAACATATTTTTCAGTGTAAAAGTATAATTTAAACAATGTATATTCTGTTTCGAACATCATGCTACACAGGATCTCCTTTTTAATCGAATTGTCTTTGCAAATTGATAGACATTTTAACATTGGCACCTCTACTTTCTTTCTTATGCACTTTGCTTAATATATTTATCAAGTTCTGCTTGTATGAATCCAACTAGAAATAAGAGGAATGTACTAAGGAACGAGTACAACCAGAGGAAACCATCTGCAACTTGCTGTACTAGGGCTTGGAGGTTACACCAGCGCACTTGATCACAGAAAGCAGGCCAGAAACGGTACAGTACAAAAAGCAACTCGAGACAACCAACACAAGACATATTATGCCCCGCGAGTCAGGACAGGTTATAGAGTCCTTTTTGTTGGTTTTTTGTTGGTGCTCGAGGTTCTTCACACTTTTCCAAAGAAATGCAAAAACCTCGAGAAAACCAACAATCACAAAACAATTACAAGACTACCCCCCCCCCCCCAAGTCAGGACAGCTGACATAGTCTTGTTTTTTCTTTTTTGGTTTTTTGTTGGTGTTTTTGTTTTTGTTTTTGTGTGTGTTTTTTTTCCTCGCGGTTTTTCACACTTTTCCAAAGACGTGCAAAAAACCACGAGAAACCAACAAAAACAAAGACTACCCCCCCCCCCCCCCCCAAGTCAGGACAGCTGACATTGTCTTGTTTGTTGTTTTTTTGGTTTTCTCCAGGTTTGTCATACTGTTTCCAAAAAAGTGCAAATGAAGCTGTGTTTCCTGAAAGAATCAATGTAATCACCAAAAAACGCACGCTCAGGGTGACCTGTTCTGAACCAACAACACCCAATTAGCTTCAGTGAAACCACCATAGCTTGAAGCGCACGCCTTGCGTATCACTCGTCAAGGCAAAGCTAGGGTTCAAGAGTTAGCTCATTTGGAGGCACCCTGTATGAAACCACTTTGGGTTTGTGTCCTGTGTTGAAGGCTCGGTACATGTTTTGGGGTTGACTGAGAAGGAAACAAAGAGGAATCGATTCTTGGGATCCCCCTCTTTTGATACATTCCCCCCACTTCGAGTTGGGTGAAAGTAGATGGCGCAATTCGAACCCATGTCATCCCCTTGACACAAGGCGGGAATTGTGCGTGGTGAATTGTGCTATCTACTTTCGCCCTGACGTGGATGTCTTTGCCGAAGAAACCCGCCGAAGACTCGCGCAGACGACCCCAAGAAGCCGAGGCCGAGCCAGCGTTGTTGGAGCCGGGCGGCAATGATGCGGACCACGACTGGGCCCGGGGGTGGGGGGGGGGGGGGGAGCAGCAGGCAGATAACATTTGTATATATAATATGCTTGAGGGTAGGCCTTTCTACGATTGGTTCAAAATGAGGCCACCATTTTTGGGTCTCCTATTTTCTGTGACACGTACTATTCCAACGGTTTTTGATTGAAAGCACCTCCCTTACTTTGACAGGCCCTCTTGTTTTTCCACTGTCCTTCCTATCAGTGCAGCATCCTGCCCGACCATGAACCATCGCTTTCGCTCTGAATCTCAACGGGGACGTGACTGGTGGACCATGAATACCTGAATCCCCCTGCGGTGTCCAAGTGAACTTCCGCTTAAATGCAACGAGTCCCTGAGGCCCGTTTTGGTATCAGCCCATGAGCCCAAGCAACGCCTGGGATTCGGTGACGGGTTCAACCAATTCAAGGCCATTTGGGGGTGGCTTCAAAAAGGGGACCCCTCGAACCAGTGGTTTCCCCTTTTGGGTTTCCCCTTAGAAGCAACCAAAAAAGGGATCCCTCAAAAACGGACACCCTCCATTTGGGTGTTTATGAAGTTTCTGAACCCCAAATGCCAACGATTTCCTCTTCGCTCCGAGCACCAAGGCTATGTCTTTCCCCGATGATTGTTGCTTTGAAGGAAAACCAAAAGGAAAACCACATCTGTTTTGTTTGGGGGGAAGGCGGTTACCTCAGGGATGACGCGCCCACTGCAGCGGCCGAAACGAAACCTTCGGCAGGTCCGGGAGCACGTGCTCTTCCGCCCCGTGCAAAAGCCCGACGTGGCAGGGCTGCCCGATCAGCGAGAGACGCCGAAATCGGGGCTCGCATTGTGTTGGTAATGGGCAAAGCACGTCGCTTGCTTGGTTGCTTGCTCGCTCGGTCGCTCGGTCGCTCGGTCGCTTGGTCCGTCGGTCGGTCGGCCGGTCGGGTTGGTACGCTGGTAGGCTGGTGGGCTGGTGGGCTGGTAGGCTGGTGGGCTGGTAGGCTGGTAGGCTGGTAGGTACGTAGGTAGGTAGGCTGGTACATAGGCAGGTAGGTAGGTAGGTAGGTAGGTAGGTAGGTAGGTAGGTAGGTAGGTTGCTTGCTTGCTTGCTTGCTTGCTTGCTTGCTTGCTTCCTTGCTTGCTTGCTTGCTTGCTTGCTTGCTTGCTTGCTTGCTTGCTTGCTTGCTTGCTTGCTTTGGCTGCTTGCTTGCTTTGGCTGCTTGCCTGGTTTGGTTGCTTGGTTGCTTGGTTGCTTTGGTTGCTTGCTTGGTCGCTCGGTCTGTGGATTGGTTGAGTTGACTGCTTGGTTGCTTCTTGGTCGGTCGGTGGATTTGTTGACTGGTTGACTGGTTGGTTGCTTGGTGGGCTGGCTGGTTGGTTGGCTGGCTGGCTGGTTTGGTTGGTTGTTGGTTGGCTGGCTGGCTGGTTTGGTTGGTTGGTTGGTTGGTCGGTTTGTTGGTTGGCTGGCTGGCTGGTTAGGTTGGTTGCTTGGTTGGCTGGCTGGCTGGCTGGCTGGCTGGTTGGTTGGTTGGTTGGTTGGTTGGTTGGTTGGTTGGTGAGTGAGCGAGCGAGCGAGCGGGCGAGCGAAATGACTAGTTAGTTAGTTAGTTACTTAGTTAGCTAGCTAGTTAGTCAGTCAGTTAGTTAGTTAATTAGTTAGTTGGCGAGTTAGTGAGTTAGTGAGTTAGTGAGTTGGCGAGTTAGCGAGTTAGTGAGTTAGTCAGTTAGTGAGTCAGTGAGTCAGTGAGTCAGTGAGTTGGTTAGTTGGCGAGCTAGTCATCTGCAGTAGTTCCTGTTTTGTATGTATGTGTGTGTGTGTGTGTGTGTGTGTGTGTGTGTGTGTGTGTGTGTGTGTGTGTGTGTGTGTGTGTGTGTGCAGGTTTGTATGCTTTGTGTTTTCGTGTTTGTGAATTCAGGGCTTGTGCAAGACGTTTGTGTCAGATTCGATGAGCTCAGGGGCGCCTCATGTCCTGTCACCCAGGCGCCGGAATCCTCTCCAGCGGCTGGGCAGGCCCCAGAGGACGCGTGCCCATGTAGATGAGAAACGGGGGATATGTATGATCCGAATGCAGGTGCTCTAGCACGTTTGAGACACCTTGCTTTAGCAGGTTTCTTTAGAATCTCATGGGGGGATACTTGGCTGTTATTGTTGGGAAATCGGCTCTTATTTTGGGGTACTCGGCTGTTATTTCCGGGACATTTAGCTTGTAATTTTCTGGATACCTGGCTCTCAGTTCAGGGCCAGCTCCCCCAAAGTTAAGGGCCAAGTCATCCAAAGTCAAGGGCAAGTCCTTCGCAAGTTACGGGCCAAGTCCCCCAAAGTTCAGGAAGGGCCGAGTGGATTTCCCACAAACAGCCAAGTAGATTTCCCTCATGGAAGGGAGCACATGGCTCTTGTTTTTGGGGAATCTTAACTTTGGGGGGCTTGGCCCTGGACGTAACAGCCAAGTTCTTAGCCCCTGCAAAAGCCAAGTGTTAGCCTCGTAAGAGCTGGGCCTTCGCCCTGTAAGAGCCCATACGCCCTGAAGAAAATGTACCAGAGCAGGCCGCTCATATACTCCTGATGTTTATTTATGTGCGCAGCATGAATACGTGTACTCTATTCATCGGCGGAAACATAGCCCCCCGGAGACCCGCACACCACCCAGAATCCCACAAAAGCTTCCGAGAGCCCCACACGCTTCCCCCCCACCCCTTCCCCGCTTCCCAAAGTCCGCCGCAGTTTCTTTGACCCGAACACAGTGTCTTGCGCCCCTTTTGCAGCTTAGTTACAACGCTTGGACGCCTGTTTGTAGACGCATCTTGGACGGTCTGGGCGCATGTTTGTCTGCCGGAAGCAGACGCAGCAGCCAGAGGGCCAGAGCCAACGGAGCTCCCGGCGCAGACTGGCAGCCGGAGAACGCGCAGCCGGAGCAGAACACGGAGGCGGAGCAGACAGGGCAGACGAGCTTGCTGGAGCAGACGAAACAGCCGGCGCGAACCGCCTGATGTGGTGAAGGTCCAAAAGGGCCAGGAACGAAAGGGAGAGGGAGAGAGAGAGAGGAAAGAGAAGCGCGGTAAACAAAGACTATGCGAGGAGTCAATTTATTACACATTTTGTAACGTGACGATGACGCAGCTCCGGACAGGCTGCCGCTTTGCTGCAACGAGTTTGAGAAGCTTGCGAGGCCTGTCCGCACAATAGCAATGAACCAGGACGCGGAAGTGCCTTTGCCAGGAAGATTCCAAAACAGAATCTTGGACAGCACCTTAACTTAGGTCACATCAGTCTAGATAGCGCCTTTCCATCCAAGACGATTGCAGCGCCACAAATTTTCTGCCTTGACAGGTTCAGGCGCCTGAGCCTTTAGCCGATCCAGCTGCCGAAGGATACTGGAAGCTGGAAAACAGCCGGCTGAACTTCCTAGCGTGGAGCTGCCGGAGGAGATTGCGGCGCCGGCTTTGAACGGAAGGGCAACCTGCGCAGCTGCAAGGCCAGTGCATCGAACGGATGCGCGGAAGTGACCTGCTGCCCCATCTGCGAGGATGCTGGCGCATGGTGCAGAGTTGAGTGGCCACGGATTGCCGAACAGGGTGCTGGCAGCGGAAGCGCAACCAGGTTGGACTTATACGACGCACGTCTCCTGTTCATTGTGTCGTTGGTCATGGAATGTTGAAGGGAAACGAAGCAGGCCTAGCGATACGACCTGCGTGTCAGCACCTCTAAAATTTGATTGGCAGCTGTTTATGACGGGTCAACCCGCATTTGGGCCTGTCCGGCTTGCAGCAGGCTGATTGATCAAGCCTGGAAATAAAAGACGGATGCTCAAGTAAGGCTCAAAGTATAGATCGAATTCGAATGCCGCGCTGGGCTCAGCGGCGGTCCATGAAGCAGATGTCCCTGATGCTAGCCCTCCTGGGCTGGTGTTTGGCGAGCGGCGTCGTTTCCATGGCGACTCAAGTTTGATGGCTTCGGTTTTATTGCGAGGCTGCCTGCCGCAGCGCCTGCCTCGCCCACGCCTGCGCAACGTGTCACCTTGTTTCTTGGTATGTCCCAGCCGGCCCCGAACAACCACCGAAACCCAGGAGGCAGCCCGAGGTCCACGTGATGCTGGTGATGTCTGGGATGTGGCGAACCGAGCATGGAATCTGTTTGCAGGCGCATGAAGGAAGAAAGGCCTTGTGCTGAGCCGGAAGCGCTTCAACTCCCCGATCACTGAGATGCCAACACGTGTTCCACTACTAGCTTCTGGCTCCGACTTGCCAAAGTTCCAGGAGGCCTTGCTTGCTTCAACAAACTCTTGAAGTTTTCTGAAGTTGCGTGTGATTCAGCTGCTTAATTTTGATTTTAATGGGCTACTTTTTTGAGAAATTGACTGCGCATCTTAATCGCTTTTTTTTTGCGTAGCTAGTGTTTGCCGCAGGAGAATTTGAATGAATAGCTCCAAGGGCGGCCTCTTGTCCTAGTGATGACACAGGAGCAGAATATTTGGCAACGCAGTATTGGTCAATCTAATCTTTGCAACCAGCAACAGCGGTGGCTGCCGCCTTGCCTTCACCTTGAATGAGCGAACGCCTGTGGCAACAAGAGGCTTGGCTGCGATGGTGCGTAGTTCTAGAAGCAAATGCTCTACGCATTTTGTTTGTGAGCACCAATGTTGCTCAGCCCCCAAACGGCATGCGCGCCCGAAATCCGTGGCTCGTTTCTTTTGCGCGAGATCTCAACGTGATACACCGAAAACCACACAAAAGGATCACGCCGAAAACCATGTTTAAAATGACCAAACCTGCATGATTGTTGGCCTTGAGACGGGGGTGGGGACTAAGAACCACAAAGCAACCTGGCAGGGTTCTGAGACACAGGGGGCGGACTTTTTGAAAATATCCTCAAAGAGTGACAAGTCTCCTATGTCCAGCAGGAGAATTTTTCGGAGCAGAACACCCAGACCTGGCTGGTCCGGGGCCTGGAAACCACCCGGACAGCCCTCTCGCAGCGGTTCCAGGACCTTGGGGGCGGGTTGGGGGCATTTGCATAAGGGACAGCAACCTGAGTACAGTTACATATGTATATATACATATATATATACGTATATATGTATATCTATATATGCATCCGTATATACATGTGTTGCATCTGCCGCTCTGGCTTCATGGTCTCGCAAGCGTAAACACTAGGTCATTTTTCATTTTGGTGTGGTTGGGCGGGTGTTTCAGCACTTTACTGAGGCTTCATTGTTGTCACGACGCTCTTGAAATGCTTTGGACAGGTGATGGCCCCCGCACTCATTGCAAACAACTTTTCCCCATCATCATGGATGGTCATTTTCTCCTAAAGCGCCAATTTCCCACAAGTACGGGGTGTGTCCAGCCCAAAGCATCGGAGACCTGGCCAGCGCTCGGCTCAAGCCCTCAGCCCGCCACTTTGCAGGAGCTGCAACCCCAGGGCTCCGAGGAGGGGGGGGCAGCTCGGAAGGCTTCGGAACCTCGGGTTGAGATGTGACGTGAGACCGGTGAGACCCGAGTTGTGAGCGAGCATCCGCAGTGAGTGTTGGAAGGTCTGTGATCTGTTGCGAAGAGCTGAGACCTCTTGAACAAAAAACCTCACTTTCTAAAACCCTTCATTTATATTTGTATGTGTATTATGTGTATTATGTGTCTTATGTGGGGTTAGTTGTGTGTGTGGGTGCTTGTTCAGCGCGTGAGTGAGGCGTAGACAAGCGGGATCAAAAGAAAAGGCGAGGACCGCACTCTCATGTCCGGTTTGGAAAATTTCGGAAGCGAAATGAAGCTAAGTGGCAAACTTGCATCAGCCCTTTCACCAGATGTTGTGTTTGCTGGTCGAGTTTTTGGGTGGAAAGTGCCAGGTGAGTCGCCGATATTGGCCCGTGGAGACCAAAGCCATGAAGATTCCCATGGGCCCGCATGGGCCGCGCTAGATGCATGTCGTGTCGGCACGGGGGATTGGCTGCGAGGAGACCGGGCAGGCTTCGGAGCAGACGCTGCCCGACTGCAACGTTGGATGGGTGGATGTGAGTCGGAGTGGGTTTTTGGTTCGGCAAAAACAAATTCGAGCTCTCACCCGAAGGATTTTTTCGATGTTTGAAGTCCTAGCTGCTTGGTATGCTTCTTGGTAGACATGTTTGTCCCATGAGACTTGATGGCTATTTGTGTTTTGAAGCATATGGGTGGCCAGCAGAATCCCTTTCTTTGGGGTAGCTGCGGGCCTTTACGCCTTGGTCGGGCTTTGATCGCTTCACTTCTGTGGGTTGCTGTGACTTTCCAGAACTGTGTCGTTGCCCCTTCTTACCGACTACTCTTCTTTTTCAATGAATGCCCAGAATTTGCAAGTTGCTGAAACTTTTTGTTCAGGTCATTGTCCTTTGTTTGGCCTGGCCAATCTATCTTTCGTTTGACAGATCCGGTCGGATTGCTTGAGCGCAATTCAAGCAGGGGATGCCCTCTGAGAAGCCTTGGACGTTTCCATGGGTTAGATTTTTGTATTTCCAAAAGTCGATCTGGTTCCAAAGGAAAGTCAAAAGACAATGCGACGAGGTTTCCAAGTTTGTCAAAAGTCTCCAGTCTGAAGGCGCCAACTCTGCAAGGATGGAGCATACCCAAAAAGCAAGCTAAGCCGGAGAGTGTTAGTCATCTTGTGTCCCTCCGGACGTTGGCCGAACATGGGCTCCAAAACGGGCTCGGCAACAGGGGAAAAAACGGTCATTGGCTGGGGTCCTAGAGAAAACATCTGTCTATCCGCTGTCAAGTTGTTTCCACAGGTGAGTGGCACATGAATCTGTGGCCATTGGCATTCTGCATTTCGACTCTTTATTATAGTGCCTGCTCAAGAGTCGTTTGTGACAAGCCTGTCATGTGCCCACTGGTCGCCTCATCATTTTGCTGAATTGACAACACTTCTGGCCCTGTGGGATGTGACAAAGATCCATCCTTGGGAGACATGGCTCATGAACAAGTGGAGTTGCATCACCGATGATATTTAGTGCTTGCTTAACTAATCAGTATGCGCTTGCTCAACTAGGTAAATTTGCTGCCACCTCTTGATTCTTCTGATTCAGTCGAAGTTTTGCAAGCTCATGTAGCATTTTGAGGGGGGGGAAGTTGCTTGCAACATGCAAAATCAACAATTTTGCTGGTTGAGCACTTTGGAGGAATCAAGCAGCTAAAGAATGCAAGACCTATGCGGATCTATGGATGACTTGAGCATGCACACGCAATAGTGTTTGACATATTTTCGTTAAATGTTTCACGCCTACACAGAGCAAGAATTCGCGAAGTGGCACTGGATCCTAGGCATGACTAGCACACTGTTGCGTTCATATGAGTGTTTGTGAGTTGTCGGTACTTTTTTTGGTTGGTTCTAACGGACAACCATCAGGAAATAGGAAAACCGAAGCCATTTTTGGGTGTCCCCAAAAAGACATCCCCCCATGCCCATTTCATGTGATCCTTGGAACGGAAGACAAAGATATCCAGTGCCTGTTTCAGGCTTCACGGCAGCGACAGCCGGGCATCCCAGTCGTTTTGCCGGGCAGCGTGTCTTTGAATAGGCGGGGATCGTCTCTCAAAAATGGGGCACATCCCCGTCTTTGGTATATCAACGGAAAACTAAAGTGAAACGTGAGCCAACCATGCTGGGTGCCAGACTCCTTGCAGAAACGCCCAGGTTGATCCCGAATCGAATCCGAGAGGCCGCTCGAAGAATAATTTGTGTCGCATGTCCAGGGCTTCTCAGAGCTAGTGAAAGTGAAACCACGGCTGGCGCTTGGACTATCGGGAGGGCTTTCCTGTCGCTGGTGTGTGCTCCCCACCGCACATCAGCAGGCTAGGAGCTTTAAGGGTCGCCGCCTCAAAAGTAATTGGTGGACATACATGTGGCCCCAATGAAGATTTGCACCCACTCTTGGGCCATGGTCTTATGAGTGTTGGAAGGGATGTGCCACTCCATTTCTCCACTTCTCTGCGAGTGCTTTGAGGTGTGTCCGATGGCTGGACGCCGCTACTTCACAAAGTGAGCGGCAAGCCCTCGTTCCACTTTGACCGCAGAGAGTCCGACTAGGACGGCGCCAGCGTGAGGCCAGGGGGTTCCAACAGCTGAGGCTCCCGTTTTTCCGGCTTTCGGCCATTTGTACCGGCCCTGCTTCTTGACATGGACTCAACGGCCAGCAGCTGATAGTCCATTTTTGAAAAAAGACAAGCCGCTGTCTAATATTGTTTGGCAGGACACGGCTCACATTGCGAGATACTCAAGAAGCGGGGTCTGCCGAAGATGCGCATCGCCAGGTACAGATTTAGTTAGGGATGGCGGCTTGCCAAGAAGGCAGCTGGCCAGCTGCGACAGTGGGGCCACGTTTGTGCCACTGCGGCAAGAAAGGCATTGCACGTTTTTTGGATGTGGAACCTGGATCCCGCGGTCGCAGCCAGATTGCCATTCGAGCGCTGTGAAACATCCGAGCTGCCGACTGAGTTTTTCAACATGGTGGTACACGCTTGTTGTTGCAAGCGGCTGGATTTACGCCACACAGAGCCTTGCTTTCAGAGCAAGTAGAGACATGGATATTGGAGAGTTGAAACACGTAGATGGATGAGCCAGAATCGGTGAAGATAGCTGCTCATGTTGTGACAGGCAAGGCTACTCCGTCTGCAGCAAAGCTCACTCCTTATGTGACAGTACCCAGAAATCAGGTATGATTTTTTTTTCCCTCCGAGTTATTGTCGAGGGCTGAGTGGACTGAAAACTCTCACATGTTTCATAATTGCGCACGGGGGGCAAGTTGAGCGCCATGGAAACCGAGCTGGGTGTTGGAGTCCTATCCATGGGAACATGATTGCCTAGTGAGACAACATTAGGCAGGCCCCCAATCTCTGTGTTCCAGACGCGCCGCGAAGACAGGTCGACGTAATCTATGCGTTCTTCACTTGATCTGCGTTAATAAACAAGAAAAACAGGGCTTGACTTGCAGAGAGTTGAGGCATCCTACTGTTCTAAGTTTTTGGACGAGTTGTGAGAGATCCTCTGCCTTTCATGAATCATATGGAGTCAGTGCACCATATCAAGGAAGATGTCCACTGCTAAAGGTGACACCCACAGACGCGAGTTTCAGGTAGGACGTGCCAGCGGAAATGGCCCTCACGAATCTCCCATGTGTCAACAGAAGCTGCGGCTGTTCAGAGCGGTTGGTCCACGTCAGCCACGCTTAGTTGCTTTTGGTTCGGCAACCCAGCGGAGCAAAAAGAAAGTCACCGCTTTCGGTGTGCAATCTCTTAGAGTCCTTGGGAACCGTAGCCACTCTTTTCAGCCTCCTTTTCAGCCTCCTTTTCAGCCTCCATATAAGCCTCCTGGCTCAGGCTCCTTATGAGCCCTTAAGAAGCTCCTTCCAGTGGTAGAACTTTTCTCGCCGCGGAAAGGTTGTGGCTCCCTGGGGCGCGGGCGGGCGTGGTGAGTCCAGTCCCCCATGGCTGGCGTGAGGGCCAGGCAGGGCGCTGACCGAGTTCGCAGAGCCTCCATTTGCTTAAGAATACGTCTTTAATTTCCCCTTGTTGGTTTTAAGAGGAATTCATCACTACTGGACATGTGTTATTTTTCCTGGGGCCGGAACCAAAAAGAAGAGAATGGAGCCGTCTTTTTGGGGTCCTCCTCTTTTTCTCGCAGAGGATGCGGCAGTCGGCAGTCGCGACAGTTCGGCATGCCCAAAAGCCGCTTCCCACAACGCCCTGGCCACGGTCCAAGTATTAATCTTTGCCTTGCCCCGCCTGACGGGCGAATTGGTAAGCGCCGGTGCATTGCTTGCCCAAAACCAACGGCCTGGACTAGCTCAGCGCCTGCTTGTCAAGGGCAGCACGCCCCAGCACGGTGGCCAAATCGCGCTGGCACGCCAGAGCCGCTGGTTTTTTGCGGCAGGCGCAATGGATACCATGATGCTCCTCAAAGCAGCGCCCGGGCCCTGGAAAGCCAAAAAGCCGCGGTCTAGAGGTCGTGAGGTCGCTGGTTGCAGCTTTCTGCTGCTTTTCAGCTGCAGGTGTAACTTGTGCTTGATGCTTGATGCATGGCCCTTGAACCAGGGGTGGATTCTGGTGATCGTGACAGAGATGATACTCATTGTGCTGGTTCGGCTAATTCAAGGTTGCTGCTATTGCCGGCTTTTTGCGTCTATTTTCAACCAAGGCGTTCTAAACAACTTATTAAATGGAAGCTACGACTCTACTTGTCATGCATGTGGTTGTGGCTTGCGATCGGCTCAGGTTCTATCCTCCGCCGCGAGTCGGGGTGGAAGAAGGCTCTAGGCACGCTCTAAGGGCTCGCTTTGGGCGAAGGAATTTTGGCTGGCTGCCAAGCCGTGCTGCCAATATCGGCCACGAGGGGTTGTCTCACGGCTGAGTTTCAATCAACGGTTCTTATGCATTGCTTTATGGAAGGATCAAACATCAGATTCATTTCCTTTTGACGGACCTTCCCTTGAATGCTTCAAAAAGCTCGCCTTTGAGGACCTCTCTCTCCAAGCCGAGACGCCGCAGTTGTTGGCTCTTTATTCGGAACCCATACCAAACTCCGGATGGCCTGCCCGGAGACATGGCCTGAGGTGGGGGGCCCAAGGATTTGGGGGCCTGCGCTTGGCAAGCTGCTTTCAAGGAGGCCGCAAACATGCCGTGTGACCTTCGAATTACTGTAGTCCCAGAGAGAACCCAGCTGTTGTTTCATGCACTCAGCAGAAAATTTTATGTGTCTTGTTTGTTCCCACGATCCTTGAATGGGGTGACCCGACATCTATGTTACAGCCAAAGGTTAGCTTCGGATTCATCTGGAGCACCATACTAATGAGAGGTGGTTCCCTTTGGTAAGGGCAGGATCTACTTTTGGGAGCTTCCCTGACTAGTAGGGTCCTGCTGGACTTTCGGTTCAACGAAGGCAACAAAGGACGGCAGCACAAGATTCTTTGAGGAAAGCAGCTCCAGTGCATTCTACTCCCTCAAGGTTCCCGAAGTTTCTCAGGTCCCCCACATGCCCTCCGATATTGTAGACGCTTCGTTTTTTCTGCATAAGTTCTGCATCTAGCCACAACTTCAATTTTGCTTAAGTTTGTTTTTTTGTTTAATCTCTTGTTGGTTTTACAGGGGTCTGTCACTACTGGATTCATTTTTATTTTTTCCCGGGGGCTCAAGCAAATGGAACATACCGCGAGGTCCAAATCCCTCCGCGGAGTTGCTTAGGCCATGCAGCAAGTCAACAGCTCCGGCCCATGCTCAGGCGCGGCGGGTTCAGTTTATGTGGCCAGGCCGCCAGGCAGAGCGCCAAAACGGCGATCGCGCCGGAGGCATCCCCCCGCACATCTGCGGAATCAGATGTGGAAGCTTTGGAAGCATTTGCAATAAGAGCAGCGAAGACCCAGCATGCTAAGAGCATGCCAGGACCAAGATTGGCTGGTTGGACCCGCAGTCCTGCTAGCTGGTTATGTCTCCAAACGGGCACCGTCCCCCCGCTTCCCCGCCACCGAAAAGGCGGGAGTTTCAGATTTTCGTTCCCCGCTTTGAAACATGCTCCATTGACTTGTGAGGCGAGAAGTACTCCACTCGAGCGCCCCTGATTCCTTCCCGCTTTACCAGGCCGGAAGCGAGCTGAGCCTTGCGAGAGTGCAGAGTCCTGAGGGTGTGGATCAATGTACCATGTAATTTCAACAAGGTGCCTAGCTGGGTGCCTCTCTGCACGTTCGAGCCATAGGAAGCATGGCCAGGGGTCGGCGAATCACGTCTTCAAGCCTTCTCAACGCTGTTGGGATGGCTGATAAGGGTCCATTTCAATGGTACCTGGAAGCAGATTCTTTAGAATCCAAGTAGATTCAGATTGTGGAATTGCCCTGCTTGGCGATCCCTGTCAAGCAGCGCTTGTGCACAGAAGCCGACAGGGTTGGCGTGATTGACCCTCACACGTCGGTTGAACTCTGAAGTCATGGGGTAATCCACGTGCGGTCAGAGCTGCATGTTTCAAACTGAAAACATATGCCGCAGCTGTTTTTGTTAAAATGTGGCCGATGTATGTGTAGAATTCCGATTCGCGGTGAGTCGAGGATGAAGCGAGGGCCCCAGAGAGAATAAGCCGTGCGGCTCCTCCAACTTTCTGGGCTTACTTGATTTGGTCGGAGACCTGGTTGCCTGGCCAGGCAAGCCGAAGAGGCTGGGGTCGGCCGGGTGTTTTGGGAGCCTCATGGCTCCTTCGATTCAGATGGGGGTGGATCATTAAACGTTCGATCATGGTACAACTATGACTTCATGTTGATTCCGTTTCAAATCTGATCCAAAAAGGGCTTGCTTTCGTTTTGACCCGGCCATTTGGCTTTCTACTTTCACTTTTTTTCTCTCTCATGTACTTGCCATCGCAAGCCGGCCAGCAGATTGGTCTTACGGCAAGTCTCAAACATTCTCTTCCTCGAATGGAGGGTGCGGCACGGTCTTCTGCTTCCGGCCGGAACTGGCGGACCCGAACACCAGCCTTTCACCTCCTGGCGACTCTCAACTCTGTGAAAATTGCGCTTTCATATTTGCGGGGTTGTCTCTAAACCTGAAAGGCCTCAACTTATTTTTGGCGATCACCTCGTTTCCTTTGAGATATTTGCCACCCCCAAAAAGGGTCTCACCAGAATTGGGGCGATCACCTCATTTTGAGTTTTAGCCACCCTGCCCACAAAACGGGTGGGGCACCCATTCCAAGGGGGTTTCGACTGACTCACCTTCACGAGTCTGCGCGTTATGCCACGAGAGGTCGAGCTGCCAGAGTGCGGGCCTTGGATCGGGGAGCCTTCGGAATTCGAGCTGCAAGCCGCTCTACCTCCCTCCGAGCACACATTACATGTGTATACGTACGTACAATTATAATTTATGAATCTATGTGTATATTTTGTTAATGTTGAAACGCATGTGGAAACATGAACTGTGTTGGCAATGCTTGACCACAATGGCGCATGCCATTTTGGCTCAAGCTTTGCCCTGGGTTCTCTGAACCCAACTTGTGTGAAAAATTTGAGGTGAATCACTTCCGAACTAACCCCGAACCAGCAATGGCCTCCTCGGCAACCTCGGCAACTTCCTTCGAGCTGATTGAGGACCAGACGCTCACTGCGGAGGAGGTGGAAATGGCCAGCCAGGCGGCCCAGGAAATCCGCA